TACCCCATAGCACTCTACAGTAAACCCTCTAATTTACGCCAATATAATTAACGGTCTCGTTCACCGGTTATAAATTAAATTTATTATTCTTTCGAATCCACATTGACGCTTTTCATGTCTAAAAATTATCGTTTTTTTCCCACGGATGAATGGATAGGGAATCGTCGCTGCGCGATGATAAACCGACCGTTTATATTCAGGATCGGGGGCGATCGGCGTGATCGGCGGCCATTCATAAATCGACATTCGATGTGAATGGACGGGCGAAAAGGAACAGTCATAAGCCAGAGGAAGGGCCACTGGCAGAAGAGGAATAGCGAGAGAGCGGCTCGCAAAAAGAGCGACAGTCGGCCCTCTTTACCCTCTGCGCTGCTTTATGCATGGCAGCTGTAAAGAGAAACGCCGGGCTCGTTCGCCGGAGAATGGCGTTACCTCACGGGAGATAACGAACACCGTCGCTTCTTCCTCTGCGACCGGAATTACTGCCGGGAAGGAAGTCCGGCAAACGAGATTTTTTCCGGGGGAAACTAAAAACGCCTCTGATTTCGACTAAGTTTTTATTCCTTTTCACGTTTAACAATGTTCACCGACTGCTATTCTTGGCTTTCTGAGATCCTTCTTCTTTCCTTTAAAGAGACACCTAAAAAGAAAGACTTGATATCAGCCACGACTATCATCCACGTCCGAGGACCGATGCCGACGTTGAATCAATTGAAGAAAAGCTCAATCGTTCGAGTAGTGACAATATTATTTGTTGGCCGTTGCGACAAATTAATTTGCCAACTTAACAAGCACATTTTCTAAAGAGATAAAAATGTATCTTCTTTCGATTTTTTTTTTTTAATTCTATCAGCAATACCGTCCTTTCCTACAAGGACACAAGTGCAACAGAACGAAGAATGTAAATAAAAATATCCACCCTGAGGAAAACCTGTCATTAAACCGAAGAAGTATTTCTTATACCAGTACCAAAGAATTATTCTGTTAATTCAAGGAATAATTATTTGACTCAAAAAAATTGACATAATGCCGAAGAAACGTTGCATTCGATTTATTTGAATTTATTTAAGTGAAATAATTATTCTTTGAATTAACGAGAATATTTCTTCGATACCATTCAATAAAATATTTCTTTGGAACAGTGACAGTTTTTTCTCAGTGCATGATAACAACGTTGTCCGCACAGTTTCATTTTCTACCGAAATAATATTAAAATTTGCATCCAAGTATCGTTCTAAAAATGCATAGTACTGAAATAATAGTACGAATACTATGATACTAGTACGGTTGGCAACACCGCTTCGGTTTCGCTCGTTTCACCCGATCGGGTCATTCGTCGAATCGGTTTTGTTCGTCGGCCATCGGGTTCGTTCGTGTCACATGACCGCGTAACGGATACTTAGACCATAAATATCTCGCATAGCAGTGGAAGGGGTAAACTCGAATACCACATGGACCACGTGTGCCGACGGCACTCGGACCCAATCAAATTTTAGACCATATATTTATGTAGACCGCCTTACAGTGGAGGGGGTAAACGAATGTACCACGTGTTCCGACGACTCACCCACACAGTTAAAGCCATTCTGCTTACTGAAAATCTGGGAGTGGGAGGTCCAATGCGAGGTCTAGATATATATGGTCCAAGATCGGACAGGGTTAAGGTGAAGTGAAACACGTCGAGGAACTTGATTGACATCGATTAAGAAGATTTTTCCAAATACCTACGTTGCCGACGTTCGTTTTTATATTGACAGCTGTATAGAATTATATTGGGTATTGTACTAAATGGCATACTCCACCTGTAGATTTTGTACAATAATTATAAAGAAATCGAAGTAAAACTCAAGAAATCATCTGGATACATGCTATCTGGGGCCCTAATTGACTGCAGAGGGACCCCCTGCGCCATCTGTGATTTCCAGGTCAATTAAATTTTCACTCCGTGACTTCGTATTCCCATCGTTTTAGCATAGAAGCGCATAAGACACTTTTTTTGCCTTTATCCTGCCAAAATGCGAGTTTATCAATTACCAGAGTGTTCTAAATTGTCGTAAAATTGTCCTGACCCTTTCGTTTCTTATATCAAAGCCTTCGATAATTGTACATTGATCGAAATATGAGAGCTCGACGCCATTTTGTTTCTGGTCTGGGCTAAATAAAAAAATTGTTTTGAAAAATCCAAATTTTGAATGTGTCAGGACAATTCTTAGATGATCACGAGTCATGTGTCACAGTTGCGGACAGTTTGGTCGAATACCCTTAAAAAAAAAGTGGTGTATTCGAATCGACTGATTTGAGGGGAGTTTCACTTCACCTTAAACGAAGGTCCCGCTCCTTCTCTCCGGGGGTGCGATAACTTTCGAAGCTGACTGTATCCGTGGATGGAACCCCCGGTGGGGTTTTCTCCCCTCGGGTGTTGGGTGTGTTTGGTTGCCAGGCAACGACACCCTCGAAGTCCGCACTCCGATTGGCCCCCTCCCCCTTCCTGTCTTAGTCCCCCGCCTCGCCCCTGCGCCAGTCAGACCCCTTCGCCCTGCCTCCCCCCGTTCCCCATAACCCCTTCCACCCACCTCCCTCCGCCGCGGGTCTTCCGTGGTCTTCGTCCTCTACCCCTCGCCTACCCCCCGCCAATCTAGCTTCGCCGAGCCCTATCCGACCGATACGAGCTGGACGCTCGACCTCTCCCCTGTGCACTCTCTAATTTACTGCGATATAGTTGAATATCCTGTGACGTGACCGGCTGTGAACTAAATTGTTTTTTTTTTTATTTTGTTTCGAGCCCACGTACATTTTTAGCGATTCGAAGGAATTCTTTTTTATGTAAGGTTCGGTCAACAGCTGCCTAAAAATGGAGGCTAACCTTCTGAATTACCGGTTGTACTTTAATTTACACCGATATTATTAAGATGAAGTGAAACCCCCCTCAAATCAGTCGATTCGAATATAACACTTTTTTTTAAGGGTATTGGAACAAACTGTCCACAACTTTGGCACATGCCGTGTGATCATCTAAGAATTGTCCTGACACATTCAAAATTTGGATTTAAAAAATAATTTTTTAACTTACCCCCAGACCAAAACCAAAATGGCGTCGAACTCTCATATTTCCATTAATACACAATTATTGAAGGCTCTGATATGAGAAACGAAAGTGTCAGGACAATTTTACGACAATTTAGAACACTGGTTATCGATAAACTCGCATTTGAGCGGGATAAAGACAAAAAAAGTGTCTTATGCGCTTCTATGCTAAAATGTTGGGAATACGAGGTCTCGGAGTGAAAATTTAATTGACCTGGAAATCACAGATGGCACAGGGGGTCCCTCTGCAGTCAATTAGGGCCTTAGAAAGCATTTATCCAGGGGATTTCTGGTGTTTTACTTTGATTTCTTTATAATTATTGTACAAAATCTACAGGTGGAGTATGCCATTTAGTACAATACCCAACATAATTCGACACAGCTGCCGATATAAAAACGAACGTCGACAACGTAGGTATTTAGAAAAATCTTCTTTATCGACGTCGATCAAGTTCCTCGACGTGTTTTACTTCACCTTAAGTATCCTGTTCTGCAGACCGACTATAAACTAAATTGTTTTTTATTTGGAGTTAACGTATATTTCGTATAACGTATAGTTTCGTATACCGACTAAAAAGAAAATTGCTTTTTATTTGTAGTTACTTTGTGCTGATATAATTGACTGTTCCGTGTCCAGCACTGCTTATAAACTAAATTATGATAAACGTATATTTTTTTATACAAACGTCCCGAATTAATTTCTGTTTCACCTTTCTGTGAATTCAACGACCTCGTCGAATTCGGTTAATCCTGTCGCAATCTTCGAAAATATATTTTTCTCTCTGGCTGAGCGGAGAGAGCGCCTTTGATATGTATTATCCTTTTTCATCAAATAATGGAATTATTTAATTAGAAACTCCATTTCATCCCTTTCAAGCTCCTCGCGATGAATCTTCACAACTCCTTTGTCGATTTCGACAAGTTTCCCTCGTAAAGCCGATTATATAGGAGCCGATTGACGTTCGAGAGGTCGCTAGCGAATTCAAGGGCATCTCTGGAGATCGTTTTGGGTTTGTCTGACTCCGAAAATCTTAAGGACGGCTTAAGGCACGTCGTCTTTTCCCCTTGCTCCCGAATGGTCCTTTCAGCCCAGGTCGAGTCGAGTCTTTCGAGGATTAAACCTTCCATTGATCCTGTCCTTCTGTCCTTTCAACCAGCGAGCCGTGTTTTGACGCAAACGACACCGACTCTCGACAAATCGAGACGAAAATACCCTTTCAATGTCCCTATACTTTCCTCGGGACGCTGATGCGTCGAAAAATCGACCCGGAAGAACTTCTCGGTAAACTTCCAAATATTAAGGTGTTATGAAAGCGTCATACCCTAGTAGCGCAGAATAATTTCTAAATTTTTTTTGTCATCTGCAAAATATCCCAAGCGACAGATTTTGTAAGATGTCTCGTAGAGTTCACTCGAAGATATCTAAAATATTTGTTGAAAATCTCAATGACAAATTTAGNTAATATTCTTAAGTAAATATTTTGCAAATATTTCAAATGTCTGCTAAATATTTACAAAATGTACGATATTCGTTAACGAATATCGTACATTTTACCAATATATATACATCGAAACGTCAAAATATTTATAAAACTTTTCCCCTCAATGGGTCCACCGAATAATTTGAAATTTTAACACGCGAAGGTCCTAATAAAGGTCTTGAAACTCGGGAAATTTCATTTTTCGAGAAAAAAATGTTATATTTATCCCAGACAAGAACCGAAAGAAATTGTTTTTCGAAAAATGAAATTTTGTCTATCTCAAGATCTTCATTAGGATCTCCATAATCACGTGTTAAAGTTTCAAATTATTCGGTGCACTCAGTCTGGAGAAAAGTTTTATAAATATACTTTTTGGTATAAATATTACGGCACTTTCATAACGCATTCATATATTCTCGTATGTCTTTATTTCAGGTATTGTTCACGGCGAGAAACGAGAAGTCGACGGAAGTGGTAAATTTTTACATTTCTTTCCTTCACCTCTCGCAATAAATTACATTAAAATGGGGATTTTTACTTTTCTATCAAATATTAAACACAAATCCTTTTTGTTGCATGGTGGTCTTCATAGCTTCTGGGAATTTAGCCTGTCATAATTTTGGAGCAGGTGATGCTGCAATGGGGAAGCCACAGAAGCATGTTTGTGATGCAATGGTGGAAGAATGTGACAAAGGCAAAGGGGCGAAGAAGTAATGTTAACATTCATAATCCGATATCTTTCGAGTTGTTTTTATTAAACTTTTTATTATGGTTAATTCTTAATTGTAGGAAACGAGTGCCTAAAATATATTACGGATCCCGAACTCACAAGCAAATCGAACAAGTCATTAGAGAACTTAGGAAAACGGTGTATAAAGACAAAAGGTAACAAAATTAATATTAATAAAAAATTAAGTTCATACGAACTAAATTAAATTTTTTCGTCACAGCCTACGTCGTTAGAAATATTTATAAAATTCATGCACTTTCAGTACATAAGATTGTAGTAGAATTGTACATTTAATGTTCTAAAAGTGAATTACTATACATTTATTATAAATTTCTAAATGAACATATAATTTCATGACATCGTGTTAAAACTTTGTGAAATTGAGTAGGAAAATTAATGCACTTATGTACTAAATTTGTGACAGATTTTATATATTTTTTGCAAATATGTTATAAAATTATATATATTTTTTAACAGTGTAAATTAACTACGAATTATTACATGAAGAATATTATTCATAAAATCATTTTGCAATACAAAACCGGCTTCTAGATTGAATTAAACATTGTTTATAATTATTTTGAATATAGCACCAAGTCATTTCATCGTTTTACATTTCAGGATGACAATATTGAGCAGCCGAGAACATACATGTTTACAGGAGAGTAAAAGAAGCAAGACTGAACTTTGTAACGAACTGTTGGACCCTCTTCAGGTTTATCAATCTGTTATTTAGTAGAGTAACGAATCTGCAAAATAATGTAATTTAGACAGGCCCAAGTAACCCCGTTTATAACGTAATAATTATTTTTAGAATAAACACTGCCAGTATTATAACGATACCAACCGAAGATCCATTTCGACCAACTTTGAACTAAGTAGAAAAGGACTCGAAACCCCATGGGACATAGAAGATTTGGTAAACCTTGGAAAAAAGGCGGCAGCTTGTCCATATTTTGCTGCACGAGCTCTGATGGTTGAGGCGGATATAATATTTTGTCCTTACAATTATCTGATCGATCCTGAAATTCGCAACAGCGTGAGTACACTGTTAAAAAGTCGTTCTAAAATTCACTCACTATACTTATCATCTAAATTTGTACCACTATTTATAAAATATATAATTAAAATTAGTATTCCATGTTTGAATATAATGTTCAGAATGTCTTACAAAATTACAATATTTTTTTAACAGTGTAATAGTCAGTTGAACGAAAAATTCGTGGGTTTTTGGACTATCTTTGTATCCTGCTACACTCGAACTTTTCAGTCAAACTAATTATAAGAAATAGAATTTCTAATCAATTGAAACTATAGAAAAATTACATAAAGTAGTTATTCAATGTCTATGATACGTAATATCGTTGAAGAACGTGTTTTGATGTGGAATTTTGTTTCAAAACAGTTGCAAATCAACTTGGAAGGAGAAATAGTCATTCTGGACGAAGCGCACAACATAGAAGACATTTGTCGAGACGTCGGCAGTGTAAACTTCAGACTTGATCACGTGTTGGATGGCAAAAGGGAGTGCGAAATGTTGCTGAAGATGGAATCCCCGCATCACGACCCTAAAGTATACGAAATCATAAGAGACTTTCTGGATTCTCTATCAAGGTTCATCTCGGCGGCCTATCTAGAAGATACGGTAATGAATTTTATCAGTTGATTTTAAGGGGATGTGAAAGTTGCATCTAAGGGACCAATCGTTCATACAATTTTTCTTCTAACTGAGTGAGTCAAATCATTTAAAACTTCATAACGTAAATATAGAGGCTATAAGAAAGGTTCTGGCACCCATGAACTTTAATTTTTTATACAAAATATTATAAATGTCTGTAAATAAGTTTTTAAAAATTTGTTTACAGGCATTGTTTACAAACTTCATGTGCGTCAGAGCCTTTCTTATAGCCCCCACATTCACGTTGTAAAGTTTGAAACGATTTGGTACACCTATTTCGGAAAAAAGTTTCACAAATGAGACCTCTGACGCCACTTTTACATCTTAATGTTACCTTAATATTACCTTTAATATTACCTTTCAGACATGTAAGAGATGAACCTTACTTAGTTATTTTACTTCACTTCAGGAGTCCTTCAGCCATTCCCGCTGGACAGGCGAAGAGTTGTTGGAAGTGTTCAATAGGACTCCAGGTCTAGAACGATTACATCATGTAAGTTTCATAAACGCGAGTAGTGCAGCAATTGCAGAGTACAACGACGTGAAGGAGAGTTTGCGACAAGTAATAAAGATTCATGTAACACCAACCATATCTTACGGAACTAAGAAAATGCTGGAGCATTTGATATTCGCTCTCGAGATGATTTCATCGGATATATTCACGAACGATTACAGAGCCTACGTGCAAAAGATGGTAGTGAAGGACAGTACACATGTAAGATGGATGATATTAATTTACAAATTAAGATGATATGAAACTGGCGTCAAAGAAATCTCGTTTATAAAACTTTTCTCCGAACTGGGTGTACCGAACTGTTTCAAACTTTATAACGTGAATATGGAGGCTATGAGGTAGGTCCTGAAACTCACAAAATTAATTTTTGTATAAAAAATTTGTTTATTTATCATGGACTAGAACCAACATGGAGTCGTCCGTGCATGTTTTTCATGTATTACGTTTTCTAGAGGTTTAGAATCGAAACTGAAGAGTTTCAGAACCTAGCTCGAAAATTTTAGAATATTATACAAATGGAAGATTATAGGGTCAGATGGGAAAATATGGAAGATACTTTCATGAACGATTGCAAGAAACGCTGGCTTGTGTCGTGGGTAACGTGTGTTTTTAGAGCAAAAATTTAGTCGTAGCAAAACAGCACAGATGGCGTCGTTGGTCTATTAGAGAATACGAAATCATGAATCCACGGGATTTCGACAGTTTTACTTCGATCTCTTTATCGTTACTTTACTAAAATGACATACAGAACGCTTCATTTCATATAATTCTCAACGTAGACTGCAAAAGGCCAACATAAATATAAATGTCGGTAACGTGACGCGCCTGCTTATGTTACTACTTAAGTATCCAGAATGACGTTACCACTAAAAAGGGTATAGATGAAGTTTATTTTATCAACGTCGATTAAATTTCTCAGCGCCTTTCATTTCACCTTAATGTCATCGCGAGACGGTGCCCATTTTTCATTACATTTTCATTGATCTGTATGTTTTGGCTATAAAACTATGTTTTCAGGTAACCACTGATGTTTGGATACCTGCCGTTCGCATTCATTCTGGAAAAGTTCGAACATTGCATTTGATATGCATGAATCCTGCAGCAATATTTGCGCCCCTCGCCAACACTGCACGATCCATCATTTTGGCATCCGGGACTTTGGCACCAACCAACACCTTCCAAAGTGAGCTTGGCACCAAGTTTTCTTACACATTACAAGCAAATCATGTGATTTCCAAGGATCAAGTGTACATCCGTGGAATAGCCTCTGGACCAACGAAGGTTCCGCTCAAAGCGAACTACACAAACGTGAAGACGTGGCCTTTTCAAGTAATCCACAAATAGTTTATATTTATAATAAATTGTAGCTCTGGTACCAGGGTTGATAAAAATCATGATTTCTTTTGAAAAATCAAAAATCGCTAACTGTCTTTAAATCACGATTTTCTCAATATCTTAAGTTAATATGAAAGGGTCATTCAATATATATATAAAACGTCAAGATATTCATAAAATCAATGATTTTAATCAAACGATTATATCAACTCCACTCTGTCTGGTACCATCTATTAAATTTTTCTGTATTTGTTTCTTCAGGATGAACTTGGCAGAGTTCTCCTCGACGTATGTGAGACCGTTCCCCATGGCATTCTCTGTTTTTTCTCGTCATATAACATGATGAACATGCAAATTAACCGGTGGATGGAAAGCAATTATTGGTTAAAGCTTTCGCGGGTCAAGAAAATTTTTACAGAGCCGCGCTTTAGCAATGATTTGGTGGATATTATGAGAGACTATCGCAACTGCATTGCGAGCACATCAAATGGTCCACAAGGAGAGATTACGGGCGCTCTTTTATTTGCAGTATTCAGAGGAAAAGTCGCTGAAGGAATTGACTTTAGCGACAACGACGCTCGCTGTGTGTTAACAGTAAGATCCCTTGATTTCGGATACAGCAATTCTTTGTTATAAACTTTTCCTTCCCGGTGATCAACTAACAGCTGGTTCTTTTCAGGTTGGCATACCGTTTGCTGTTAAAAACGACCCAATGATACAGATGAAAGTGAAATATAATGATTTGAATAAATCAAAAGGTTTGCTCAAGGGTGACGACTGGTATACAGTTCAAGCATTTAGAGCACTGAATCAAGCACTAGGTCGATGCATCAGGCATAAAAATGATTGGGGAGCAGTTCTTGTTATAGATGAAAGGTACGTTGAGTAATCTGCGTTTCATTATCAAGTAAAGAAATAAATAAAATGTCTGTCATCCAGATTTCTCCAGCAGTCCAATATCAATTATTTACCAAAATGGGTCCGGTCTATGGTGAGTATTAGCTGAGTCTGTTAAATTAAATGAGGTAATGACAAATTATACATAATACGCTTAAATTCTAGTGGACTAAACGACTGAACTATAACTTAAGAGAGGATCTTCAACAATTCGTGGAAGAACGTATGATAAGAGATGAAGAAGAGTCCCTGTAATTCCAGTGTAATAATAGTTTAAAGATCTTTTATGCATGACAGTAAACGACAATTTTCAGAGATTCATAATCCTGGACCGGAAAGAAAAGAGTAATATTCTACTGTACCTCGTTAACAAAATGTAGATATCTGTGATATCGAATAATCATTAATATTTCGTAAGGTTAACTGATAATTAAGATATTGGATAGCAAATAAGTGTAACATGAATGGTTTTTTAGTTTATATACAGTTTTTATGTAAAAACGAGTTGAAACATTAAAGATTATTTCATTAGACTTGCACAATAGCTTCGATTCTTTGTATATAGATTTTACATATTAGTCGTATCTCTTTTTTCTATCAATCGTAACTGCTTCTTTTTCATCCTCTTTATTTTGGCTGTATTTTTTATCTGAAACGAGAAAGGGAGATATATATTTGAAGTTATTGATTTACTCAATTTGCGAAAAGTGAATTATGACCAGATGAAGTTATTAAAATCTAACTTACAACTTGGACGATTTCACTTTTCTTTCGGTTCTCCTCCGCTCTTTTTAAATTCTCTATTCTCCGTTGCTTCTTTGCCTCCTTTTCGGCTTGTTTTTTTGCTATTATAGATCTAGACATTTCTTTAGCACGCTTTAATTCTTCCCGCAGCTTTTGTTTCTTTTCAAAGGATAAGCGAGTACCTCGAGTTTTAACAATCGATGAGAATCTAAAATTATAACAAGTGTGCGGTTAAAATTAATGTAAATAACATCTGAAATGTATTACATTAGACACATTAGCAGAAATATCTCAATCACTGAATTTATGGAAGCTGAGTACTAAAGTAATACATATTTTTTATTGTTCGTTACTGGGTAAAATAAAATAAATTATAATTTACCTTGTTTTCGGTTCTTTCCATATTCGTCCAGACTTAGGCTTACCTTTCGGAATTAAATTTACAGACTTCTTGGCAACGTCCTTAGATTTCAACGGTGATTCTTCTACCTCATTGTTTGTGCTATCTTGTGATTTCGGTTCCGTTAAAATATCCTCCATTCGCACGACATTTTCTTCAACTTGTGTCATTTTTAAGTCTAGCTACGTTTAAATTGAAATTAACGTTTAGAGGTTAGAAAACCACGTGAACATTTTTGCCGATTCGTAGCGACATCTCAACGAGATTTACTGAACTTGTTGACTAAATTATGAATCTTCCTTATCTCGTAACCCAAACTAACAATCGGTAAAGCAGAGTTACATAAACGAGTATAAACAAAACTTGTAAAAAGTATTTCGATTTGAAATCACAGACAGGGTAGAAATTCCGTTCAAGGTCCATTAACAAACGTTTTATTGATCCATGTTTTTCTGCAGAATTATTGGAATGTTAAGTAAAACATACTTTCCCTTACTGCGTAAAGTTCCGAGTTAAATAATTAAAAAAAAAGAAGAAATCTCGCTTTACAAATAAACCGTACTTAGGTACAAAACGTTATGCTTATCGGCTTTTCGTTACGCCGTCCTCGAAATAGGCGCTACTTTCACGGTTAAATGAGATTCATTTGAAATGGCAAGCAGTACTCAACACTAAACTCCGCTCTCCCTCTAAAAAAAATTCAAATCGTGTATCGCGGCTAATGGCACTTGTCGAGAGAATATACAATTCGGTTTGATCTCTCGACGAAGGTTTCAAAGTCGTGGAGGCAACCATGGCGCCTCCGTTTTTGGACAGCCTTTGAATTTCTCGAAACGCGGAAAATCAGGAAGAACTCCATTTCCACTGGAGTCTCTCCAAAAGTTTCGCATTGCTCCATATAACTATTTAATCGAGCCCGCCGCTCTTTTACTCGACCGGAGTTCTACACTTTACACCTTTCTTCGGTACGACTACACTAGAAAATACTCAGATTCCGAATTTTCTCGCAGCCGAAAGACGTGTAATCATCAGACCCCGTAAAAAATATAACCACTGCTCTGACACGATGACGATCTATACAGGAATTTACAAAACCATACCACATGGGGAGCGCTCGAGATTTACACCCCACGCGGAATGGAAATATCGCTGAATCTTGCGGCAAACGTTTGCAAATATCGCAGCCGCGTTATACAATTATGTCTCGCAATATTTTCTAATACTCAGTGCCCGGTAAGAAGTAATGTATTCTCCTTTGCGTATGAATAGAATAGAATTAACGCGATATGAAAGGTGCTGAGTAATTTAATCGACGTCGATAAAACAAAATTTATCTATACCCTTTTTAGCGGTAACGCTATTTTGGGTACTCAAGTGGTAACAAGCTGGCGGCGTCACGTTACCCACATTTATATTTATTTTCAAGTCATTTAGAGTATATCTTAAGAATTATACGAAATGAAACGTTCCGTATGTCATTTCGGTAAAGTAATTATAAAGAGATCGATGTAAAATTGTGGAAATCCCGTGAATTTATTACTTTTTATACTCTAACGGACCAATGGCGCCATCTATGACGTTTAGCCGTAACTAAATGTTTGCTCTAAAAACATGTATTACCGATGGGAGAAGCAAACATTCTCTTGCAACATATACCTTCTCTTTCTCAGATATGTATAGACTGACTCTTTCATATCACCTTAAGATTACCAGAAAATTTATTCCTGCTGCAAGGACTGGACTTGTGGAAAGTGACGGATTTTCTCTACTGTTAAATTGGACAGTAAAAAACATCACATTACGTTAAACCGTGACATTTTTAATCCTATTCTGTTCAAGTCTTCTTACCAGGCGCGGTTTAGGTCATACGATTTCCGACATTCTCGCAAATTGAGCGACATCGAGGCGTAATACTGTTTTACAAAGGACCTCTCAATAATCCTGTGACGTTATCTACCCTGCTATCGCTGTTGCACTTTACGTCAGCATTTCTTTAGAGGGTACATCCGATTCTTACAATTTTATTAGCGATACGCTTATAAAACGCTAATATTTATATTACAGAACTGTCAAACGATGGAACTAAAAGTTAAATGCTTTTCTTTTCGCCATTAATGATTTCTTCATCCATGATTTTTCGTGGATAAAGAGCTAACAGAGCAATATGTACCCTCGCAAGAATATGCGTGTTGTAGACAAATAATGGAAATATGTACTAATTATAGCGAACAAGATCGACAATACATACAAGCATCTTACCGATTTACGGAATCTGACAATCTTAAAATGATCTTCGAAATGCGACGGATTCGGGAATTTCCAAGTCTTTACCAGATACACGGTGCATCATTCAAGATCATTAAGGTGATGTGAAAACGGCGTCAAAAAGGTTTGGTTTACGAAACTTATCTCCGAACTGGATGTACCAAATCGTTTTAAACCCTATAATGTTAATCTAGAGGCTATAAGGAAGGTCCTGACGCCCGTGAAATTTCAATTTGACGATAATTTGTTTATAGCCATTTTCAAAATTTTTTATATAAAAAAGAAAAAAAATGAATTTTCACGAGTCTCAGGGCGTACCTTAGGACATCTACTTATTCATGCGGTATGATTTGAAACAAATTGGTGCACCCAATTCGGAGAATACTTTTCACGAACGATCGACTCCTTGGATACCACTTTCACATCCCCCTAACCATTTCATGGAACGTTAAAACTACAATAACTATTATTGCTGGAGTCGAATGTTCCCCGTTACTAGACCACGTTTGCATTTATCGATAAATCCGTCGAGAGGCACGATAGTATATCACTAATCAAGCACGCGTAAGAAATGTAAAAAATCCGATCGCAAAACCCAACGTGAATTTCCGCAAGTGCGTCGAGTACCGAAACATACGCAATTAGAGGTTAACGAGTCGCAATTAACGTTAATACACGTACACATAATGCTCTTTACACGCAGGCTTTCGAAGCCTTTTTTCCGCAGATAATTCATCACTACATTACGGACCCTTTCCTCGAAGTGCGCGAATTATCGCACTTTACGACTAAAAGTTAAAAATTAGGACTCATCTAGCGAATAGATAGGTATATATTATTGTACGCGGAACGAGAGTATCTGATGTTACACTTTTAACTTAATCTTAATAGTTAATTACAACTGATTATACATCTTCCATCTAGACAATTTCCAAACACTTTCTATCACAGACAAATAACGTGTATGCAATTCTGTGGTATAAATTGAAAAGGCATTAAGATGATATGAAAGGGTCATTCTATATATCGTCCAAATATTTATGCATTATTCTTCCAATTGGATGCATCGAATCATTTGGAACTTCAGCACATGATCATGGAGGCCCTAAGAAAGAACGTGATGCTCGTAAAATTTCATTTTTAATAAAAAATTTATTTCATTTACCCCAGACTACAACCAAGAATCCATTTTTTTTTCTTATTTTTAATGAAATTTCACGAGCACTACGCTCTTCCTTAGGGCCTTCATAATTACGTGTTTAAGTTTTAAATGACTCGGTGCACCCAGTTTGTAAAAAAGTTTTATAAATATTTTTAAGTTTTATATATACAGAATGACCCTTCCATATCACCTTAAGGGGATGTGAAAGTCGCATTCGAAGGGTTAATCGTTCATGAAACTTTTCGCCGAACTGGATGCACCGAATCGTTTCGAATTTTACAACGTGAATATGGAGGCTATAAGGAAGGCCCTGACACTCATAAAATTTCAATTTTTATAAAAAATGTTGAGAATATCTATAAACAAATTTAAAAAAATTGATATTTTATGGGTGTCGGGAATTTTCTTATAATCTCCATATTTATATTGTCAAGTTTGAATCGATTCGGTATACCCAGTTTGGAGAAATGATTCATAAACTTTAACCCTTTTGACTCCACTTTCACATCATCTTAAGGAAACATGGCTTATAAAAGCCCTGTAATAAAACATTATTTTATGGCGTCGTGCCCTTTCCAAACGTTATACCAGAAAATCGCATTCGTATAAAGAAGTATATTCGATCGATTTCGCAATTAAGTACATTTTTCGTCGCAAATCTGATAGTCGCAGGCGTTCATTCAACTGCAGAATAATGTCATTCGGTTTAGTATTTTTTTTTGCTACAAGAAAATGCGTAGATCCGTTAAGTAATTTTAAAGATCCGTCACTAGAGATTCGCAATGTCGATACAAAGAAATGTCTAGTCTACGTGTACTGATAAAGATATGAATTAAAAAATATATTTCTCTGGGGGTTAAACCGTGCGGTGTGAAAGCCAGCGGCTCGTCCTGCAATTAACATTCTTTCTCTCGGAGACGCTCCAAATTATTTCCCATTTAAGAACGTAGCGATTAAAATGAGAATGAATAGACGACTCTATTATGAAAATATAACAAAATTAATAATATATTTGATTCTGTTTGCTTCACCAGTGAAGACGCATGGTAGTACGATTATTCTGAAACCGGCGTTCCGAAGGTGTGATTAATTATAAGCTATGTACATTCTTATGTATATATATATATATATATATATATAAATTAATGAATGCTTCGTACATGTCATTCCTCATTTTTGGCCACCATTGTTAATTCTTCGTTGTCGGTATTAATTACTGAATTACATATAAATTGCGACAAGAGTTTAGTATCCTTTTTTTATAATATATATGCACCGTTTCTCACATATCATTATTTTATCCAGCAGGTATGTACAACAAATAAGGGATTATTAACATTTTAGTATGACCATTTAGTAATGATTACATGTAAATGCTTGAAATTTAACGGTATACATGTAGATGCCTATTTAGAATTGTTCAATGCGCAGACTTGTTATCGTTGAAGATGCATTTATTATCGATGGATATATAAAGTTTGAGTGAAATAATACTTTCGCCACAGAATTTTTCCTTACTGCCTAATAAACCTGAACTTCTATAATTTTAATTATATGAATTTTAATGAGAATACTTCTATTAATTCGTGTAAAAACAGTAACAAATAGTTCTTAATTGGACAGAGAACTGGTCTAATTGCTCTGTCCTTTATATTTTTTTCATCTACTACTACTACTATTACAAATATAAAATAAAGTGCGAATACATACAGTTTTACAGGAGGTACAATTTACAACTGTACAGCGGCAAGATTATAAATTGATATGTTAACAAGGATAAAAATAGTGAATCTAAACATAAGAATGCCCTGTCTATGTACAAGTGTTGTTTTTGGAGTATTCAATATTTTACACCATGATTTACATATGCAACAGTAGGTTCTATCGCCTTTAGGCATATTCAATAACGCATGAGTGTGATCTTCCAGTGAATATCCAAAGAAATCGCTATAATTCTTTGTTCTAATCATCTGATTATTAAACACGGTGGATTTCACTGTAAACTGCTTTAGTTTTGTAGGTAGTTAAACTATCAGCTTTTTCTGACGTAATTTTACACGGTTTCGTTTCACCAATAAAGGTGATTGAGTGTTTCAGTCTGCTTTGTATACCATTACATTAAGCTTTAGAACATACATCTCGTCAATAGTCGACATTCGTCGTGAACTTCTTCTGGTTTCAGGAGTTATCTTGGATGGAATGTTTTTTTCAAACAGGACACACCGAATTCTGTATGCGCTGTGTATTGCATTTTACTTGAACGTTAATCTAGAGGCAAGATAATTAAGGAATGTGCTTGTTACCGAGGAATAATCCACTCTGCTCTCCCTGTATTTTTAGCCGATGCATGCACTTCATTTAAGAAATATCAACTCAAGAAATCGGTCAAGAGATTCTTTGAAATTTGACCAAAAGTACCTATTTATCAATTTATCCAACCTCTTCACATCACTCTGTTGGTCCTTCGATAAATAAATCAGACTTTTTTTATCAGTAACTTGGCTTTTTCCTGCCTGTTAACATCCTTGCACGATTACTGACAAGTAACATGCAAATACCTTCCTGTGATGGGATACAAACATGATTACACATATAGTTGTTTTCAATCGAGGTAAAATCAAAGCGCACAATGATAAAATTATAGCAAAATGGGAAATTGCTGTAGGATTTAACAATATCAAAGGCCCTACCTTTAATACTGAATGAATAATTTGTAAATAAGGTGTATGATCACTAAACAAGGGGTTCGACTCATAAAATAACCGTGGCATTTTCATCCTTAGGTACAACATTATGAGATCAAATTTGCAGTTCCAATTGACTACACTGTACATCCATATCCATATGAGCTCTACTAGTACCATCGGTTACCAGTTTATGTCATAGTTATAGCACACTGATGCGAGAGCCTCTCATTGAAGCTTCAGAGAAATTCCTCCAAACCTTTATAATTTAAAAATTCTTCAAAGGAATGATTTGTAAATCGAACCATATTCGTGTGACTACTTACAGGTGAACAGTAATTTAGTTTTTAATCTTGCAAGTAGTAAGTCGTTACCATCTTTTGATATTTTTACAAAGTTGTGCTCTCCACTGGTGTGACAGGTCGGTTAGGAGTACAGCATCGCTCCAAAGCACAACACATTTCCGTATCAGCAACTTCATCTCTCAGTTTATGAAGATCTAGGTTAGCAAAGAAGTCGCTTTTCATTGTCCCCACTGCACTGTCAGAGCCAAAACTGTCTTGCCTGCACAAATCCACGTTTTTATAGCACTCGGTGAAATCCACTAAAGAGCTGGGCTGTACAACGAAAGCACTGTTAAAAATACACGTAGCATCGGGTCTTGATTCGTTGTTTGGTTTCTCATTATCATTGTTGTTACGTATCCTATGGCTCTGTTCGCTGTCTAGTGTCGATTCAGTGCCAACTAAATCCGAATCGATTCCTGCGAACCTGGACAATTCATCTTTCTTCAGGGTGCTGTCGTTTGAACAGAAACTATCCGTATGGTAAAGATCAGTTCTCTTCAAGGTACTAGCATCAGAACCAAAACTGTCTTGTCTGTCGAGATCCTTCTTTAAGGAACTATACAGTGAGTATTCATCGAACACCTTATCCTTATTCTTCCTCAGTGTACTGCTAATCGTAGCAAAGCTTCCTTGCCTCGACAATATGCTACCAATACTAGAAGCTGTACTATCTTGCCTAGTAAATTGAATAACTTTATTATCCTTAAAGTCTTTATTTGTCGAAATCTCAGGAGGGTTAGTTTGTGTTGATTGCATCGATCGAGAGGCAACATCTAAAGAATTGTTGTTCGAAGAGCTGGTATTTGGATTGGAGAATGCATTCTTGGATTGTTCCTTCGTAGGAGATATCTTAGTTCTCCTAAGGTATGACCCCGAAGAAGACTTGGTTCCCTCGGAGCTACCTTTACCAGCATCGGTCACAGAATTTGAGCTATTGCGCCTAGAAATAGGCTTGCTCTCCTTATCCGACTTTGACTTGCCGATTTGCCTCAAATACGAGCTAACAATATGCCCCGCATCGGCCGGTAGTTTAAACATATCTAACTTAATTTCATTAGCCACGGCTTCTACTAAATTGCGAGCAGGCACTCTTGACTTCTCCGCATCTGAACTAGAACAAGTATTGACTGTGTACGACGTTTTATTGTCCATTGAGTGAGACTTTGAAGAACCTTCAAAATCAGCTGACGGATTACACTGTCCAACATATCTCATTTTTTCAACAACAGGTATCGAGATGGGCATTCCCTTTAGTTCGTTTATGTCTTTAGGAATCACTTCCGATTTCTTGTTCGAAATACTGTCCAAAGTTTCCCCCGAAAGCTTCGTTTTCCCGTTAGCTAGGCTACTCTTCTGCTTGTCAAGGTAGACATTCGCCGTTTCAACGGGTGACGAGTCCTTTGATTTATTACTGTTCTGTCTCAAATATCGCCCACTGAACCCGCTAGGATCAACGCTGATGACAAGACTGGGTTTCTCCTTATCCCCCGACACATCTTTTGGCTTCGAATTTTGCCTAGAATACCTTAAGCCTGAGTTTTCACTCGATTTGCTGCTTTGCCTGGAATACCTCCCCAAGTTACTCATCGCTTCCGGTGATTTCTTGAGGTCATTAACGGGGCTCGGTTCGCGTTCTAGAGTGCTGTCATCGCAACCACAAAAACGCTTCTTTTCCTGATGTACTTGACCCTCCTTTATCGGCTTAAGCTGTGGAGCCAAAGTCTCCGGTGTCGTGGACTCGCTGCTATTCGGACTCGGTCCTGTGTAATGTTTAATATCATGTTCCAGATCAGGCGGTAAAGGCGCACCCACTGACAAATGCATCGCCAGGCCTTCCAGCCAGACTTCGATGACTTCGAACGGTGGTCTCTTATCCGGATTCAAGTCGCAGCACAGAAACGCAATCCTATAAAAGGTTTCCGGGCAGTTCGTGCAGAACTTCTCTCTGAAAACGTTCTGGTTCAAGCCGAAGTCCGAGGACCGAGGCAGGTAATCAGGGTCAGCTTGAACGCGACCTATGATCTCGCATACGACTATTCCGAAGCTGAAGATGTCCACCTTCTCATCGTACTTGTTGCCCTTCATCATCTCTGGAGCCATCCAGTATGGATTTCCGACAACGGTGTATCGTTTCTTCCGTTCTTTCTTCGAGTTTCGAGTTTCACCCTCTGAATGCCTGCTGCAGGGTCGCTTGTCGGGGGAATTTCCGCTTTGGATTATCCTAGCTAGACCGAAGTCTGCGACCACCACAGTCTTGTCTTCTCGTACCAAACAATTGTGGGAATTTAAGTCTCGGTGGATAATATTCATGGAATGCAGATAAGCCATGCCAGCGGCGATATCTTTTGCGAACGATGTGCGCTGTTCCCAGGGGAGAAGCTCATTGGTATCGTGAAGCAAAGCTCTCAATGTACCTCCGGATATATATTCGGTAACGAGATGAAGCTTCTTATCCTTGTAAAGCACACCGATGAATCGAAGCACATTATTGTGATGTAATGACCTCAAAACCGCCACCTGTACATGGATAATTTTGATTAAAAATATACTCTCCGTCAAGCCTCGTTCTATAATCGAAGGGAACTCACCTCTTTCAAAAAGTTTTTCTGAGCCTCTTCGTCTACCCTATACAACTCTTTCAAGACCATAACCTCATTTGTGTCCCGATGTGTCACTTTATATACTTGACCGAAAAAACCTTTGCCCAGAAGTTCTCCCTTTACCAAATCACTGGCTCGGAAGATCCTTTGGTTCTTCGGTTCCACTCGGAATGACCTGGTACGACTCAAGTCGCATGTGTTTGTTGGCGAAGAACTGTGAATAAAAAAATGTTTCCACAAATTTGAATTACACATCGGAAGGGGAGTTATAAAACATAATGAATTATGATTCTTAGTAGTACTAAAATCGAATAAATAATCAATATTACAGAGGGGTAGAAAGTATTACCCATCGAGTAATCGGGACATGGAACTGCTACGCTCTTTGTTCGCAGGATCCCTGGTCCTTCGCAGCTGTCTACTTCTTGTTCCGCTGATATAACCTTCATCACGACGTTTGAATAATCTTTCTTTGCCGTCTGGACTCGTTCTTGGACTCACGGTAGTTGTCAACATAGATGAAGAGGCACTTGGAAACGAAGGTCGTCGTGACACTGCGTCCGGATCGTGTTCTATCGTTAACTGAAAGAGTGTTCCTTTTTCATATAATACTTAAAAATTCACACAATTGAGGTAGAAAAAGCAGATTATTAAATTTTATGACATCTTGTAAATGGACGTCTCATTTAAATCAACCCACCTGCAGAACGGTATCTGAATATCTAATTAGATGTTCGATGTTTTCTATAGGTTGCTCCTTGACAGGTGTCCCATTTACTTCCAGGATTCTGTCTCCGATATGCAGAGACATAAGATCATTGGACATGTTTAATCTGTAACATTTTATTACATCGTGTCATTAAATTCCTATGACGATAACATCCCACAATTGCATTGACACGTGCAAAACATTGCAGAACACTGCATGCATGTGCATGACTAAAATGTCACATAACATACTGTGATACAATGAAACACAATACTTATTCAATATAAATTTCCATGAACTAATGATTCGTAAGAAAACATTACAAGAACCTTTTCTTGCTTACGGAACTTTGGAATCATTATAATTTACTGGCATTGTTTAGTGAAGTTCTTAATCACGTTTCATGTTACATTTTTTAGGGAGACAAAATATACATCTACTTTTACAAATATTAAAAAGTAATTTAACAATGCAAGGAATGGTGCAGAAAATGGAAACGTTTTCATCTAAAAATAAGTTTTGTGCCAGTCGATTGTTACTTATATTATAACTAACACTCACATCAATATAATTTACATCTAGTACCATAATTAAAGTGTAACAACCATTTGTAAAAAGTAAGTAACGTATTAATCAGGATATAACGATTAATGCTAATAATGCAAACAACCATTTAAAGAATGAAAAGCAGTCTCACAAAATAAACCCATTCAACGTACACATATAATTGCGATTAATTTATTACATTATATAAAGCCAGCTATGGATGTGGTCAGGTTTAGTGCATATTATTCGTTATGAAATACCTATGATTAGAGAAGTGGCAGCATAGCCTAAACAGAACCTCCATCACGGAGGCCACCAGCTTACTGATCTTTCCACGAACATTTCTTATTAACCTGCGTTTTAGTTCACAGTTATTAGAATATAGCCATTCCAATCAACCCTTAAATATTCAACGGTTCACTGATAAATAAAAGTATCTGCCCTAACAAGTTTTATGAGAACTAAAAACATGAAAACAATAATAACATAATTAATAATTCAAATAATTGTGAAAAAGCTTATTGAATGACAAAAGAATATTTAAGGGTTTTACTATTTTACTTATTAATAATGGAGAAAGGCAAATACATTTGTCCCAATTCAAATATCAGTTATACGCTTTCAATGACACATTTGGCAGCATGATTAATAAAGTTTGAGAAATTCAGTAATCAGTTAGCATGTGTTACATGCTAAAAAAAAAAAAGTCCCCTTACATTAATTTAAAGGTATTCTGGAATACAAGGATAATCCGTGACTCTTGAAATAAATTAAAAAATAGCCACAAGCGTTATTATAAAGTAGAGAACATAAAACATTGATGTACAAAAGCAAAAAAGATTGGTAACTTATGAAAATATATCGTGTCATGTACTCTATTTTGTATGAAAATTATTTTCCATATTGAAAATGCTTTGTCTTATTTACGTAATATATTTTATGCATTCAAGTCTGTAAAAGAATTTAAATAATTTAAAAACATTTTGAAATAATTATTGCATTAACATTCATACCCATAGCACAAGATATTAAATTTGCATTTAATATAACGGTTACTTGTAAGCTTAAGAACACGCATGTTACAGTAATTACGTTGAAAAATATAACGATAGAAAAACATCGACCAAACCGACCATTGGTACATATAATCAGTTTCGTCCAGGTTTATTTTTAAAATGCTATACCCATAAAATATCTAGCATTTCAAGATATGTACGCAGAATGTTGCATTCATTACATTGTAAGTAAGCAAAAAATAAATTTAAACAAAAAAAATCTAATACGTAATTAACTTTGACTTACTCCGAAATGCGCAGTAATGCACTGCCTCCGCTTCGTGGACTGGGGGTCGTATCCAAAGTGAGTTTAATTCCTCTTTCTTTTTCAGGATCAGTGGTGTTGGGAGGAATCTCTACCAGTCTTATACTGTGTGGTTTTCTGATGAATGGATAATTTGCCGTTTTGTTGAGAGGCTGCATTTGTCTCTTGTAACAGATGCCACAATAAAGTTTAGACCTCTCGACAAGAGCATAACTCTCTCCATCTCCAATAAAGGTACCACAGAAATTGCAAGCAAAACATTCTGGATGAAATTTGTGATCTCCGGCCAACATTACTGGTCCCGTAATGATGTGGCCGCAACCCTGACAGGCTTCTCCATATGCAGCCCAATAGTCTTCTTTACAAAATAAGAGTCCATCTTTCTCAAAATACCAAGAAGACAGGGAAGCATCGCAAGCAGAACACCTAAAAATAATAACAATGTGGTAAAATCACAAAGGATACAGGGAAACTTTAAAACATTATCAAGAAGTAAATAATACCGAAAGCAATCGATATGCCATTCCTGGTTTAACGCCTGAACAAATTCATCCTCATCGATGGCATTTAAACAGCCAGCGCAAACTAACGTCCCTCCGCCTTCGCCTTCTCCAGGATCTAGAGCAAAACAATAAAATCAGGCAACATAGACGACGTATTCCTTTCCGTCCATAGAAATTTTCAAAATTATCGCTTCGAACTTACAAAAAAAGATCACTATTAATTTAGTGAAATCAGCAGAGATACCAGATCGCATCACGCAAATTTAAATCAACGAGGATGAGATTAAGTATCTGACCTCAAATAAACTACGTCAAACTAAATTGACACACTTTTATATTTCTAGTTAAATGGGATGCTAGTTTATTAAGGGTCATTATACCAATATCCAGTTGAACTCGGACACCTTGATGAAAGAAAATCATCACTCGGTAATACGCATTTGGAATGAGCTACTTCTGTCGGCATGCAAGATAAACTTTTAAAAATACATTCATAAGTATATCATCAAGAAAACTGCTGTCAAAAAAACTCAGAATAATATGGGAACAATCACGTCTGCCAGTTACTGGCAGACGACTTCCCAAACAGGCCTGACGTTTAGTAACCGTCCGAGGTATTTATAAGACGTGGCGAAGTGCCGTAACCTCGGACGCCTGACAATCGGGAGATCACAATCGTATCAATATGCAAATCCCGCATCTACGCGTGTAAATAGAAGCAAAACGAAGGCAAAACTACGGCAAAAGAGAGTCGGAGGGGACAGGACGCCCACACGCTGTAAGCGACATCAGCTAACTTTCTTAAGAATGCTTGTGTTTTCACATTTCTTTCTCGAGCACAATGAGCGTTTCTCTAGGATCACTTAGTAATGAAACGGAGGACGAAATTACTTCATAATCCGCTTCGAAATCCTACCATTTGATGTGATTTCATCCATCACTGCATGAAGATTGACACACTCCCACTAACCAACAGGCAACCGTTGAACGCAGTGTTAGTTCTGTGAGGATCGACTGACGTTTCTGCGAATGGGATGGAGAATCGAGATATATCGATACTCGACGGTATCGACAGAGAGAAGACGAGAGTAGCAGCAGATCTCTGGGTAGCAGCAGAGAGAAGATGAGAGTAACCAGGCCCCCTACTTCATAACTATTGCGCAGTGCTGCCCTCGCGGTAGCTGAGGCATCGAAAGGCGCGATATGTCGGTAAACGTAGAGTCCAGTCTGATTTGGTTGAGCTAGCGCAGAGCCGAGAAGCAGTTACCTACTGACATTTATCGACAGAAACTCGTTATACACCAGATACAATCATACTCTAAAATACCGATTAGAACTGTAATTGAATGCAGATGCGGAGCGTTGGGCTTAGCGGCGTTCACGTACGGAACCTACATGCAGCGAATCTGTGCGATTGCGATTGTTCCTAGAAACATTCGCGCGTCCCAATCAGCCAAGCGCCAAACTACGATTCGAGGCACGAGCATGCATGTTTCGACCCTCGCAGTCATAGGAGTATGCGTGAGAGTCAAATGCTGTGAAAAACCTTCCGAGGCTTACCTAGTCGCGGATGTAAGCCGAGCCATGTCGTGTATGATTTTTATTTTTGCTTACATAAGAATAAATAGATATTTCTTTTGTTATTTCATTTGGTTGTATCTGTTGGCAATGGAGCAAATTTATTTTCCGGGTAGTCAAACAAATTATGAAGTATTAATAAATAAACATCGTATATAATATCAACTTCATGTCGATAAACTTGAAATTTCTCATCATTAGGAAGCATTCTTTCCATAAATTAGTATAAATTGAGACCGTACACTTCACTCAACAGTTTCTCCGATGACATACTAATTTGCGTAAAGAATGCTTCCTCATGATGAGAAATTGGAAGTTGTTCGACATGAAGCTGATATTATAAACGATGATTATTTATTGATATTTCATAATTTGTTTAACTACCGGTAAAATAAATTTGCTCCATTGTCAACAGATACAACCAAATGGAATGCCAAAAGAAATATCTATTTATTCTTATGTAAGGGAAAATAAATATTATAACCGACATGGCTCGGCTTACATCCGCGACTAGATAGGCCTCGAGAGGTTTTTCGCCGCATCGACTCTCACGCATACTCGCTTTGAGTACAAGGATCGAACACATGCATGCCACGCCTCGAATTGTAGCTTGGCGCTTGGCTGGTTGGGACGCGCGAATATTTCTAGGAACAATCGCACTCGCGCAGATTCGCTGCATGTAGGTTCCGTATGTGACACCGCCATGCCCAATGCTCAGCGTCTGCATTCGATTACAGTGTTAATCGGTATTTCAGAGTATGATTGTATCTGGGTGTGTAACGACTTTCTGTCGGTAAATATCAGTGAGTAACTGCTTCTCGGCTCTGCGCTAGCTCAACCAAATCAGACTGGACTCTACGTTTACCGACGTATCGCGCTTTTCGATGCCTCAGCTACCGCGAGGGCAGCACTGCGCAATAGTTATGAAGTAGGGGGCCTGGCTACTCTCATGTTCTCTCTGGACCATGTAACCACGTCTCCATCGTACTGGTAAATCCGTGAATTATCGGGCAGGTATCGGGTTTGGATTCAGTACATCGCATGTCTTCATCGAATTAATAAACACGCAGATTCGATGTGCCGCCACCTTGGGATCAGTGCTCAAACTATATTCATACACAAAACTGGCTATGTAGGTAAATATAGAATCCTACTTAATCATCGGAATTCTGTTTTACTAACGGGCAGTGAACGACCCCAGCCACACGTAATTTCCCATAAATGATACATACAAATCACTCCATTTCGCTTCGAAAATAACGGAGATAAGATGACACGTTAATTACCCTTATAATACAGTAAACCCTAATAAAAGATAATAATGATTAATGTACGCATGACATGTAAACATAGCTTTATCAAGAAACGAAATAAAAATCAGAGAAAAATAAACTTTATATTATGAAAATCTAGAAGATTGATGATATCAACTATACCTTCAGCGTTATCGACAACATAGTACAAAATCTGCAACGTTTTTGGTGTTATAAAAGTATGATATATTTTATAAATACTTTGACTTTATCACTTCCATAGAATGATCCTTTCATAACACCTTGATATTGCATTAGCTATACTTAATTCTCAAATAATATTTACGAATCGAATATCGAAACTGAACCTCAATTTATAATTCTACTCGCTGGTCAGAATTTCGATTCTTGCTTCCTTCCTTTCAACCTGTTTGCCCCTCTCCTCGCACCTTGAAGCCTCTAGAAGGCAATAACGTTGGCCTCTACAGTTGTCTACAGTCAACCTGCGGAACGTACATATACTATAGCAGTTCCTACACTTCATCCATTTAATTTTAGTTGCCTCTGGTCGCCTTTGCTGGCCACGTCGATACAGCGTCGGCGTCTTCTGCGAAGACCGGCGACCGGCAGGGCCGAATTTCCTTGCGGATCTTTGGTTTGGGTGAAAAATTCACGCGAATCACTCTTTGGAGCCGACTAAGAGCTTAAAATTGTGCAATCTGTAGTCAAACCAGCGCCGATGCAGCTCCTCGGGGATCGACACGTACGAAAAACTCGGAGGCCAGTTACCGTTGTAAACAGACAGTGAAAGGAATGCACCCGGACGGTATGATGTACAGTGCACCGAAGTCGTGACCAGGTACGGTAACATTGAAGTATTTTATGCTAATATTTAAGAGGATATGACAGCGGCATCTAAAGAGTCGTTCATGAAACTTTTCTACGAACTGGCAGTGCTGAATCGTTTCAAATTTTACAATGTGAATGTGGAGGCTATAAGGAAGATCCTCAGACTCATGAAATTTCATTTTTTTTTAATAACCAATTTTACAAATGTTTGTGAACAGATTTAAAAAAAATTGAAATTTTATGAGTTTCAGGACCTTCCTTATACCCTTCATATATATATATATTGTAATGTTTGAATCGATTCGGTATAAACAGTTTGGAGAAAAGTTTCATGAACGAGAACACTTTGATGCCAGTTTCACATCACCTTAACACATTCGCGACCGCTGACGTGAATTCACGTCATTTTAAATTCTATTCCTGATTGCCGCTGACGTGAATCACGTCCATGACGATACACGATACAAGTTTGCGGCAACCAGTTTCAGAATTTCATTATTTTCGCTGGTACTCAGTATTTAAAACGGAAACAATTTGCCGGTCGCGAATGTGTTAAGGTGACAAGATCAGTTTATGTACATAAAACGTCAAAGTATTTGTAAAACTCTTCTCCAAACTGGGTGCACCGAATCATTTGAAACTTCAGTAAGTGATTATGGAGGTCCTAATGAAGAACGTGGTGCTCATGAAATTTCATTTTTCAAAAAAAAAAGAAACGTATTCATTCCGGGCAAGAACAAAAGAAAGACATTTTCTCGAAAAAATGAACTTTCGCGTGTTTCAAGACGTTCATTAGGATCTTCATAATTACGTGTTAAAGTTTCAAATTATTCGAGCACCCAGTTTGAAGAAACGTTTTATAAATATTTTGACCTTTTTGATATATAATAGATAGAATAACCCTTTCATAACGCCTTAAGTATACGGTGATACAATAAAATTGGTATACGCGCAAAATCATTATCTAAAAATTTAGATACGTTTGGTCTTGATATTGCGTTTTATCCGTCTTTTAAATAATCTTTTCTTTTAATTCAGATACCCAATCGCGTTCTCTTCTCTTGGAAATCTTTTTTATGATATTCGAGTCGACTTCCTAGTGCCTGGTGATAAGGAAGTTTCTTCTTACAGTGGTTAATCTCCAGCAAAGTGACGATAACGTGGTGATGACCCGACCGGGCGAGAACACGGAATTCGCGATAGCGGAAGGTGAAACACTTCGATGAACTCGTGTCAGCTGGCTGGCTGAATCAAATGAGTCAAAACTTCCGAAATTTCATCAGCGCTGTTTTTCTTCGGCCAGGTCGGTGACTAGATCGTCTCTCGCCTTGAAGTCATTCGAAGATGAGAGCTTGCTGATAAAACATCTCTTCAGGATGTGGCCAAGATTAACGAGACTGCGTCGGGTCTGGCCGGCATTGTTGTTGATTGTCGTCGTCATCTGTATCTTTGTCGTCTGGCCGAGGGTCCAGCAGGAGAACAACGACCTTCAAGACGACGACTTCCCTATGCGGTATAAAAATATTAAGATTTTCCTTCATGAATGAAGAGGCTGTAAAAGTGGCATCATTCATGAAACGTTTCTCCAAACTGGGTGTACCGCGAAATTTCAATTAAAAAAAAGAAAAGAAGTATCCTGAACAAGAACCAGAAAGAAATTTTGATCATGAGTTTCAAGACATTTATTAGGACCTCCATGTTCAAATTTTAAAATGTCGAATTATTCGGTACACCCAGTGTCAAGATCACCGGAAAGTTCATAAATCAAGAATTCGTAAAATTCTTAATGTAATATCAAACTTGGAACGAAATGAATTTATAATGATAAAAAGTCCCATAGCGAGTGCAAGTTGTACAATTTTTGTTTGCATTATTACAGGAGGTTTGGTGACCAAAGTAATTATGTAGACCGTAGAGGCATCCATGTCGTGATTGGCCATTACGTGGGAGACTCCATAGATACTTCTAAAATACCAAACATAACAAAAGGTAAGACATTAGTCAATTTTAAATTACGCTATCAACGCAGTAGTGGATATTATCTTACGTGCATACATTTCAGATATAATTAACAAGAACATGTTCAATCCTCGACCGAATGCCGGCAGGAACGGCGAGCCAGTGGCGATATCCCCGAAAGATATGTACGTGATGCGACAACTCTTCCAAATAAACAGATTCAATTTGATGGCGAGTGACCGTATCCCGCTCAACAGAACATTACCTGACGTCAGGAAGAAGAAGTGTGTGAAATCTATGTACAGTTTTAATCAATCGGATCGTTAATAACGAATATGTAACAGCTGATCAATCACAGGTGCATCTCGAGGTACCAAAATTCATCAGGACTGCCGAAGACATCAGTCATTATCGTATTTCATAACGAAGCTTGGAGCACTCTTCTCAGGACAGTTCACAGCGTCATCGGTCGGTCACCGAAACAATTGTTGCAAGAGATAATTCTCGTCGATGACAACAGCGACAGAGGTGAGCATATTTTCCTTCCGTTAAAATAATTTCTTAAAGCTACGGTTGCGATATTTCGTAATTCTTCAGTAAAATTATGTTAAAACCTGTATTTCCTCTGTGATATTGCAGAATTTTTGCGAAGTCAGCTAGATGAGTACGTGAGACGATTGGAAGTGCCCGTGCGAATCCTCCGTTCTGAAAAAAGGATCGGATTAGTGAATGCCAGACTCTTGGGAGCTAATAAGGCGAGAGGAAAGGTCCTTACATTCCTAGACGCTCATTGTGAATGCACCGTTGGTAGGTAAGCTCCGTTAGATCTAAATTATGATGTAAATGTAAATCGCCTTGCGAGGGTCGGTGACATAATCCCTTTTGCTGACATCTTAGGGTGGTTGGAACCTCTTCTTGAAGCGGTCGCCCAGAACAGAACTAGAGTGGTTTCACCTGTAATCGACATCATTAACGATGACACCTTCAGCTACACGAGGTATCCTAATTTTGTAAAACTAATTAACCGTATATAAATATCCAATAATATAGATATCATAAAGGAGATACAAATTCTCAGCCGAAACATTGCAGAAGGCATCTCAAATTCGACTGTGCACGTTGAGCTGTTATTTTTAAATACATTAATGTCGCGTTAATAAAGCTCGTACAATGTTAATAGTTATTTTCGTTTCAGATCCTTTGAACTGCACTGGGGTGCCTTCAATTGGGACCTCCATTTTCGTTGGTTGACTCTTAACGGTCCATTGTTGAAACAACGTCGAGACAATATCGTGGAGCCGTTTAAGACCCCGGCTATGGCTGGAGGTCTCTTCTCAATGGACCGAAATTATTTTTTCGAACTCGGTAGTTACGATGATCAAATGCGAATTTGGGGTGGGGAGAATCTTGAGCTTTCTTTCCGTGTCTGGCAGTGTGGAGGAAGTGTCGAAATAGCACCTTGTTCGCATGTTGGTCATCTTTTCCGAAAGTCATCACCTTACACTTTTCCCGGAGGAGTGGGTGAAATTCTGTATTCCAATTTAGCTCGGGTTGCTCTGGTGTGGATGGACGATTGGGCAGAATTCTACTTTAAGTTTAATCCTGGTGAGTGATATGAAAGGTTCATCTTGTATATATCAAAACATAAAAGTATTTATATACCCCCAAACTGCGTGCACCGAATAATCTGAAACTTAAACACGTGATTACGGAGGTCCTGACGAAAGTCTTGAAACTCACGAAATTTCATTTTTCGACAAAAAAATTATTTTCTTTTAGTTCTTGTCTGGGATACATATAATATATTGTTCGAAAAATAAAATTTCGCGCGATTGTAGACCTTCATTAGGAGTCGATAATATCAACAAATTGTAATATATTATATGTCATATACACGTTTCTCTTAAAAATGTTGAACGTTAGTCTTCTAGCGGCGAAGTATTAGCTCGACAATGAACGTTACTTCTAATAATCTATTTCCTATTTTTACGATACTGCAGTTACTTCCTTGCAAACAATTCCGTAATATTTTGTCTTCAAAACAGAGGCTGCAAGATTGAGAGATAAGCAACAAATCCGATCGAGGTTGGCTCTGCGACAGAAGTTGCAATGTAAGAGTTTCGAGTGGTACTTGGATAATGTCTGGCCTGATCACTTTTTCCCAAAGGATGACCGGTTCTTCGGAAGGGTAAGATGAAAAGAAATGCGATCATTGAATTGAATTATACCTGGTTATTTATATTTTAGATTGTCCACGTGTCCTCGAAAAAATGCATGATGCGACTCATGGCGAAGACCACTTTCTCTCAACCCTCTGGGTATGCAATTCTGGAACCGTGCATCGAACCGCCAACCCTCAGTCAAATGTTCGTAATTAGGAAAGACGATGTTGTAATGACTGACGAAAGTGTGTGCCTTGATGCATCGGAACGTGATACTCGTCATAAGACCCCTAGAGTTAAGATCATGACATGTAACGGTCACTCAAGACAGAAGTGGCGGTATGATCCAAAGGTGAATTTCCATATTTGGCATATTTGCACGACCGTGATCTAGATCTATGATACAAAGTTTTATCACAATTATTTATCGTTTCAGACTAAAGCATTCCGACATACATCATCCGACATGTGCCTTCAAGCATCATCGAACACAGAGGGACCAGTGATAGCACCCTGCAATGGGAACATAGAACAACACTGGCTCTTGGAGGCGATACTCTGGAAATAGGCTGATTCATAATCATAAGATCATTAATTCATAAACATCTTATTCACTTACGAAAATGTTAATATTGTAATTTTTATACTGTCGACATTTAGGATATTAAAAGTCAACGTTAGGTCAAGACCATCAGGGACCCGATTCTCGAGTTCGTACGGATTTGTTTCGCATACGAATAGACTTGCATGAATAATTTTGCACTGTTGCGAAGTCGTGTCATTGGTCAACATTTGAAAATTGTAGACAAAATTGTTACTTTCGCATACGAATGTTGATCGTGTAAACTCGAGAATAGGGTCCCTGGAACGTGAACAAATCACCACTATTATGTGATTTTAAGAGCTAATGAACTTTTGTATACATTAAATAGAAACATAAATCATAAATTGAACGACTTTAATGTCATTTTTGAAAAACGTAAATGCGATTGAAAATTAATTGGACCTAGTCTTTCCTGAACGGCGATTCATTAGACTGAATTTAATTCATTTTAAGATAGCACACGATATAGACAAAAAATCTATACAATCCGTGTGACCTGTGCGACATATATATCCGTACATAGTTTTGAGAATAATCGTAATCGACGCGCAAATGCAATAATTAATAGAGTCTAAAGTTCTTACAGATGCGGTGACGCACCGATTGCAACCTGTTATTATCTATCCATCTTCCAGTACCTTTTCATTTTTCCTCTAAGAGGAACAATTAATTATTTTTCCACAATTCCGTGAAATCGACTCATCGCTTCGATTTGCATGGTCCATTTTAAAATTGCCTCGTCGGGACTTCAAACGTTTATTTTCATGTCTTGATCTCGTCATCAATACGTGTGGATCAAGTCATGAAGTTAAGGGTTTTAATTTTCATAATGACGTAAGACGCGTTTTATACAACGTGTCTATTGTATCGTTTTACTAACTTAATTAATAAATTTATGAATTGTAGTAGCAAGTGGTTCGCTGAGTCGGTCGTTTGCAATGATATAATGATAATTTGCGTTTTCATAATTGCTTTTAGAACCGTGTTAACAGCTCAGTAGCAGTCAACTGCGAGTTAGTCGAACAAAAACATTCTTTCTCTTTTTAACGGTGCTGGCTACTCATAAGGCTCTTCAAGTTCTTCTTCGGTCATTATTCCGGCGAACATTTATGCATTGTTAGTGATTCACCGCCCGTTAAGGGTATCAGGGATGAGCCAGCTCTGTTGTCATCATCTTCGAGGTCGAACGTACGAACGTTCCAATTTGTCGTCGGACTATACGTGGTCATGGATCTATGGATGAATGTCGAGGAGAATGACGCATGGGTGCGTCTGTTCATTTTTACGAAGAGGCGTCTAAGAACTTCTTTTAAGGAACTGCGATAGAAGAGCGTCATTTAAGGTACGACATGACCGACTCCAATTGTCCCGATACTGAAATAAAATTTGATAAGTACTTAAACTAATTGCTTAAGGTGTGATAAAAGTGTCATTCGTATATGCCAAAAACTCAAAATATTCGTGAAACATTTCTTCAAACTGAGTGCATCGAATAATTTGGAACTTTAAGGTGTTACGAAAGGGTCATTCTATGTATAATAAAACGTCAAAATATTTATACAATTTTTCTCCAAAGTGGGCGAATAATTTAAAATTTCCGCACGTTATTATGGAGGATCTAAGGAAAAACGCGGTGCTCATGAAATTTCATTAAAAAAAATAAATAAAAAAAACATCCTTGGTTCTAGTCCGGAATAAATAACAAATATTTTGGTTGAAAAATGAAATTTCATGAGCGTCGCGTTCTTCCTTAGAGTCTCCATGATCACGCGCTAAAGTTTAATATGATTTGATACCTCCAGTGTGGAGGAAAGTGTTATAAATATTTCTACATTTTATATGTATAGAATGACCTTTTCATATTATCTTAAATAAATCTATTATTGTAAAAGCTTCCCAGGATATGGAAGGTAAGAAAAAGTGGAAAACGGGGCGCGAGAAATATTCCCCAGCTAATGAACCAGATCCGCGCGTGACGAATCTCGCACGTGGATGTTCACTAACGATGCGATCTACCTATTTTATTTACGATCAAGGCTTTCAGCTTGCTTAGCATTCGCCGATAATCGAGAGCAGGCAAATGCGTAAAGCGAAGGCTGTCGGCCATTTAACGCCCTAGGATAATTCTCGTGAAGATTTTCAAAGGCGGTCGCTTCTGCGAACGATGCGTCCCTGTAGAGTTAATGACGCATCTTCCGCGTGCCTGATTCCACCTATTTAGTGCTTCTTAATTTTACGATCTCTCGATTTCTTCCAAGACTGCTCCTCCGAAGGCTTCGCCCTTGCCCAGTTCGAGCAGACGACGTCGATTCGGTTTTTCCCAACTCGAGACTTTCCAGAGGAATTTCCCAGAAACAGAAATAGGTTAGATTTCGATGCTCTTGAGTATTAAAAGTTAAGATTCGAATTAGTAAAAAAACTGGAGAGTATTGATGAAAGCATCTGAGCTTAAGGTGACACGAAAGTGTCGTCTCAGAGGTTTATGTGAAACTTTAACCGAACTGAGTAGTCCGAATCATTTGAAAATGTAACGCGTGAATGAGGAAACCCGAAGTAAGGTTTCGATACCCAGGAAATATCATTTTGAAAAATTTTTTCATGGGCATTTTTTCAATTCGTTGTAAAGTGTTTAATTTCACGAGTTTAGGACCTTCCGCCAGGCTTCCATATTCACACGGTGAGATTTTAAACAATTTGGTACACCATGCTCGGAGAAAAGTTAAATAACTGACTCCTTAAACGCTACTTTCATATCACCTTAAGGGCTCGCTAAAGGTATGTCGGCCATTTTGAGTCACGACGTGAAAGATGAGGAAATCACTTAAAACTCCCTGCAGAGGAAGCCGATTCGTTTTTTATTAGATTAGATAATACTCACAAGTACTAAGAATTTCGATTTAAATTAATAAAATTTCGATAATGTTAAAGGTTCTTGAATAGCCAAGTCGATCGTATTGAGTCGTGATAGAGGTGCGGAAATTGCGTAAAATTCGGTCAAAATTCCTCGCCTCTGACGTCACGACTCAATATGGTCGACTTGCCTTTATCAAGTTTTTGGCCCTTAACCCTATTTTTACGCATATTAACATGCATTGGATCAATATGAAGTCTTACTTGGCTTGAAGAAGGAAGCGCATGGAGGAGTTCCTCGATAGGATTACGTCCGCTAATTGCGAGTTCCCCAGGTTTGCGGTAGGTGCGCTGCGCTCGTTACGTGGCGTCGGCACAGTTTGCGCATCTAGGTCAAAGTCGCGTCCCCCGCGAGGCCAGGAGATTCCTCTGCCGACCTCCACAGGGTCTAACAGGTCGTTCCAATTACTCGCCTCCAAGTTTGGATGAGATGAGCGGGCTCTTTATTTATGGTTTCGTAGCGGCCTGGAAAGGTCGCGCGACCCTCGTCAGCAGGAAACCGCCATATTGTTTCCCTCGAGGATGCGTCTGTTTACACCGCGGGGGTTAGGTGATTAAAGAAAGCAAGAGTAACGAGACCAACGCAGCACGCGAGATAATTCGCGCGTAGTGGGATTCCTTTTTGCTAAATCCTTAGACGGAATTTGGAATTTAGTAAAGTATTGTTATATTTGAACGTCTCTTGAAGGTGTAAGTACGACTTACAGGAAACGAAATATTTCTATTTTTTCAGTGGTTTTCTTAGAATCTGTTATTCACTTCCGGTTATCAACTAGGAGAAACCATATTGTTTTTTCGGAGGACGTGTCTGTTTACACCGCAGGGATCAAGGCGGTTAAAGGAAACAAGAGTAACGAGACCAGTGCGGCGGGATTCCTTATTACTAAATCGTTACATGGAATTGGAAATTAAATAAAGCGCGTCACCGTACTTCAGCTTTTTTAAAAGATTAATTAGAATAAACTCTCTATTTATTTATAAATTTCTCTAAAGAAATGTAGAAAAGGTCGTAAGGCGGTAGCAGAAAATACGTTAATAAGATTCTGTTAACTTTTGTCATTGTTATAGAAATACGAAATGGAGAAAATGAAAACAGTAGTCGTGACATTTTCGCATCAGGAAGTAAAGGTAAAAATAATACCAAAATTAAATTCTGTTAATATTTCTTTCATCTCGTTGCATATGTACGAAACGGAGGAAATGAAAAAAAATGGCGTCGCATTTTCTCTTCCCGAAGAGGTCAGAAAAATACATGAATAAAATTCAATTAACCTTTTGCTTTGTTTTATTGCAGGTGTACGTAGATGGGAATAAAGACGTCGCATTTACGGAAATCACCGATGAAATCACTTACCTTAGCTGGAACTTCTTGCAACTCCGACTTGAAGTAAACTCGCCATAAAGACGCGAGTTATCCGCGGCCAACTCTGGCCGAGATGAATCGACTGTTTATTTTTGGATTCCAATCGTCCTGCAAAGGTCGGCTGACCCCCAATACATAGGAAGAGGTCGTGTTATAATTCTTGAAGACGTGCGAACGAGTTGCCATGACTTTGTGGGGGGTTCACGTGTCTTCCGATATCGAAAGCCGGTCGGTTGTGTTATTTTGTCGCGTGTCCGGCGACCGTGCTCGTGGAAAATGTTTCCTTGCAGCGGATTAAAGTTAATGCGAATATTCATATGAGAAGTTTACGGCTTCCCGTCACTTAGGAAATGCGGGAACATCAATTTGTACGTCCAATTAAAAATTGTACGCGGAATGCGGTTCGCTCGGTTTGAAGTGATCCACTTCGACGTCCATTTTTCTTGGCCGGGTGGATCGAGTTCTTTGGAATTTAATGAAAATTACCTGTTTAGTATAAGAAAATTCCGGTTTTATATAACACAGAGGATTTGGGTCGTTCACATAATATATCTATGTAATAATTTGTCGTACTATACGGGTCTCAACGCGCCATTGAACGTTAGTTAACTTTGAACTGTTAATTCTAAAATTTATTGTAAATGTTCAGTTGATCTTTTTGTAATTTAGTTCTTTGAGAAGGGCCTTTAATTGCAAATTTATTTAAATAGAACTGAGGTAGGTAAAAATGGCTGACACTCGGTGGTCAATTGAGAGCGCGTTACTCAATACTTCGGGATTGGTATTACATGAACCGAGCATATGTACTGCCGTCAATCGCGGTCGGCTAATACTTGGGATAAGGCTTACAGTTATTATTAGTACAGCAGTAATTGACATCCTGTAAGAAATGCGTTCGATAGAAAGAGTCAGGAATTCCCAATAACTATATTCATTATGCGCTATAACTCTGATAAGAAAAAAAGTTATTACGCCCACTTTTCTAGAAAAATTCTATTTTGCATAATTGCGCTTGTAAAAAGCGTAAACAAATTCCTCGAATGAATTCCCTACCAAATAGTTAAGAAATTAATCTAATCTAACCTAATGCCATTTACTATTATAAAAGAAGCTATTAAGGTGTTATGAAAGAGTCATTCTATACATATCAGAACGTCAAAATATTTATAAAACTTTTCTCCAAAATGGGTGCACCGAATAATATGAAACTTTAACGCGTGATCATTGATGTTTTACTGAAGGTCTTGAAACTCGCGAAATTTTATTTTTCGAAAGAAAATGTTGTATTTATCCCGGACAAAAACAAAAAAAAGAAATTTTTGTCTGGAAATAAAATTTCGCGAGTTTTAAGATCTTCATTAGGACCTCCATAATCACGTGTTACAATTTCGAATTATTTGATGCACCCATTTTGGATGAATATTTATAAATATTTTGACGTTTAAATATGTATACATGACACTTTCATAATACCTTAACGGCCTGTAAGTTATATTATTGGTGGATCCACAGACCTGTTAGCACTTAAAACCGCTAATCTATGGAAAGTTAATGGGGGAAATGTGATTTTCGCATGATGTACAATAGCGGACATGAATGTCTCCCCTGCAGATACGGCATCGCCTGTGCAGGATGGGAGGGCATTGATGTCTCCCAGTGTACAATGGCGGACATAAATGCCTCCCCTGCAGATACGGCATCGCCTGTGCAGGATGGGAGGGCATTGATGTCTCCCAGTGTACCGTCGATTTTCCAAGGATCGATCTGCAGGAACCGCTTCTCGAAGGTATATTAAGCGCCACTTGGAAGAGAGGAGATCCCATATCTTTACTATCCTCGTTTTCTTGTTTCCGGACGCTGTGGGAACGAAGAACTAGGGCGGCTATTGGTTCACAACGGAAGGAAATTAATTTTCTGCAATGGAACGTGGCGGCGACGTGCAACGTTAACCGCATAACAAGCACAAGGGCAAAATCTCGTAGCTGATAACGTTAATTGGAGAGTCACAGGAATCGATGTTACTGTTCGTTCGTTATGTCGATCTGTTATTCGTGCCATGATATCGAACCTTCAGAGTAAACCAGTCGAGTTACGAACGGCTTCTTCCCTGGAAAGATGCGACGTCGAAGGTAGCGCCCCTCGATCAAAGTCCGCGAACTATACGAGTAGACACTTAACCTAGGATTACGTGAACGGCAATATTTTCGCATCGCGAAAAACCGGACGTCTCGCTTTTGATTTAACGTAATTGCGTAATCGAAGAAAGAGAGATGTTTCCGACGTCACGCACACCGCGAATTTCTGCTCGAAAATTGCGCCATTGCGAAAAGTCATAACAGAGACTTGTGCGTGCGGAGAAAAATGTAATCTTAGGTTTACAAAATGTTTAAACCTGATGTTTAGATGACTTGGGTATGTTTAAACCTGTTTCTTTAGATCGCTGTGTGGCATGAAGATGGGTGTGGCGTGTTTTGGTGGAAAAGCTTTTCCGAAGGTCGTCATTTTGGGACAAACTGCGAAAATATCGCACTGAAATTTCTTTATTTCTATTGATTAAATTGTAAGTTAACCTTTGAATAAGGATAGTAAAGGGGCTCTTTAATTTTAGGACGCGTGTAGTTTATTTTTTTCATGAAATCGGCGGACGACTTGCCTAGGGTTACGTGAACGCTGGTTATTTTCGCAACGCGAAAATCTGAGGTTTCGCTCGCTCTATGGAGACCCGAAGTTCATGGCGCAATGGAGATCTCAAATCTTTAGGTCCGATTTGTTTACAGAGTCACGTCCTCGTCTCGTCCATTCGTTCCGGTTCTCACAGCACCTTGTGACCCTGGATAACCGGATCACGTTAATTGTACCACGTGAAATTTCGTTTCGGGATGACCGGTGGCGTCCTTTGGCTGGATGGAAAAGCTTCTAGAAGGGCCGCCATATTGGATTACGCTGACCAATGCGAACGTTTTCATTTCTAGCTGTTAAATTATAGTTTATCTCTTCAATAAGGCCACCGTGGGCATAACATTTAATTGCATTATTAATTTACTTGTATTTGTTTTAGAAATAATGTCTTGTCAAGATGGCGTCTTTTTAGTTATTGGTTAACTCGAGTTAGGAAAGAGTATTTCGAGACAGCAAGTCTTTTGTTAAATTGAAAATAGTTTATTACCGGAAAAGATGATTCCCTGACGGAAGCAACACTAATTGACCAGCGTGGTTACCTGTATATACGAACATAATCATTTTTCATGAGTGTACTGTACACACTAAGTGTCCGTTAACCAAAGCAACCTTTACACTTTCAGTTTTAACGCATCTGAATTATCAGGGTGATTAAGATAGTAACAATAAACTGTAATGCCTACGGTGACCAAAATGCATGGTCTGAGCAAACGGAATATGATTCCCATCTACATCATTGAACAAGTTTCCGCGCGCAGATAAAAAATGGATATTACAATTTTTGTATATAAGAGCTGACGCATACGCGAAATTTCGACAGTTCTCTAGATTGTTCCTTAACAGTACTTACGAGCAGATGATTTTATAGAAATTCACATTAACTTCCCACGATCTAGTTAACAGCAAATAAATATTTGTCGCAAGAATTTGTTTTAGGAAATGATTTTAAAGTTGGCGCTGTGACCAAGGCAAGCTGAATTAAAATTCCATTTCGTTTCTATATTCAGACTTCTCTCCGAGGATATCTTACTCCATTCAGGCATATTAAGTCTTGAAGTCGTGAAACACATATCGTAATTTGTTTGCGAAGTGCGCAACATATCATCAAACTTTTTTTTTCCCGAGCGCGCGCAAGGGGAGAGGGAAACGTGCAGGCGTCGCGTTTAAAACGAATCGTCTCTTATATTTCTATGGGAATAATACATATCGACATATATACAGTCACCACGAAGCTACATAAGACTACGTAGCTAAAACGCTATGCGAGAGGAACGGCCAGGAGCGATCGGAGCGTAATTCATGAAAGTCACGAGACTCCCGAGAAAGGATCTCGCGTGCTCGGCCGCGAAACGAGGCCGCCAAAAGATACGCGAGGCCGAGATGCTCCTCCCTGTGTGCGGTGCGCGCGCACGCTTTCCGCTGGGCCGGCGGCGGTCCAGCGGAAACCGCGAATCGGCGCCCTCCAACCCCGCGAAGCACGCTCCGATTGGTCTCGAACCATTCGCGAGGCTCAAGCCTGGTTTAAGCTTTCGTTCTAATGCTAACTTAACTGTTCCTTTGCCCTAATTTTCAGAGATCGTTTAATCCGTGTTCTAATTCTTAGACAAACTTAATTCTAGCTAATAAGGAGGTCTATTACGTAAAGCAAATTGAGCGAAAATGTGAAAAATGAGTAGCTCACGGTATTACGGAAAGTTTTTGAACGATTTCAATACATGGCATTGTATCTTCTTATACTTCGTAAATTGCGTGCTACATCGTTTGCACCTCATGCTTAGTACGTACATTGCGGTATCCTCTGGTATCCACTAATAGTTTATAACAAATAATGTTGAAACCGTGAAATGAAAACAATAACATAGATAGCCAGCGTTGTTCAATTTCGCTGATATCCGAATTATCGCGGCATTGAATAACGAATAACTATGGAGGTTATTCAAAGTGCACATTTAAACCACGCGCCCTTTTTTTGTATAACACGCATGCGCCTTACCTGAAAATCTCGGAATTTGTTAAAGTCACGGTTGGGCATTTTTGAGGATTAAGACTAAGGTGAGATTAAGGAAGGGAAAACATAAACGCGCTCTATGGCTTCTTCATTATAAACATTTAAGTTTGGGTTAAGTTAAGGTTAGAATGGAAGCATAAAGTTTGGTTTATACGTCCGTCTTAACCCTTACTTACTTTTTTACTGTAAGAGGTGCATAGAGAGCGTTTATGCTGAAAGAGAATTAAGATAAGGAATACATAAACGCTTTTTATGAGTTCTTATTCAAAATAATTAAGTTTCGGTTAAGTTAGGTTAGGATGGAAGCTTAAACCAGACTTAAACTTAAAATTGGCCCGTAGCTGTCTTCCTGATCAGCCGTGGGTGGTACAGATTAAAACTGTCGACCTTAATCCTACGAACTTGACCCGGCGCTGCAGCGGCGTCGCGACGCCGCTCGCGCCTCTCTACCGCTAAGTACGTATAAATCGGTAACCTCGATGAAATCACAATCGTAGATACTCTAGCGTTTATACAGTTCTTTACAGAGTTTTGCTTAAGGTTAAGCGAGCCGAAGTGCGACAAGTTGGTCATCAGAGAGGGCGCTGAATAAATTTCAAGTTTGCCGCGTTTGAGGAATTAATCGATTCCATGTATTTGACGTAAAAACAATTTCTGATTTAATTGCAAAATTGAGTTACAACACAAAACATATCGAGAAATGAAATTATTCAGCCGAAAAGTATTTATAGATCTGACTTTGCAACGCTGAATTAATTATCACGATCAGAATCGATCAATTCATTTCTGTATAAAATCCACGCGTATAAGCACGTGAAAATCAAAGTTAGGTTACGTTTAAATTAGTTTTCCGAAGAATGATTATTTCCAGGAATCGGTTCTTTTTGGAATTTCTAAAATTTAATGAAAATTTCTGTATAATTAGAGTATTCTTGAAATTCATTGCAGTTATTTCTTTAGTTTAGATATGTGAAATTAATTTGTACCACGGTGGATTAATGGTAGATATTTTTTTCAGGGATTTAGGGAGATCAAGAAACTCGTAATGTGGAATTAAGATGCCAACAAATCGCAGCTCGTGCTCGGCTATTTATCCTGACATGGAATTGGAACACTGTGGGAGTAGCTTACTATTAAGACCGTTTAAACAACGATCGGCGGTAACGTTAAGAACATCTTCGCTCTAGGGAGGAAATAAACGGGGATGGCCCTCGTTCGTCTAACAATAAGATTCGCTTAGACCGGAAAGGATGAATTGTTAATGTTAAAAAATGAATCTTTTCAGGGCGCTCCGCCGGAGAGACCGTCGCAACCCGCAAATGTCTCGATTTTGCACGGGACGAGTAATTCATAAAATGCGTACTCAATTCGGCTCTAACTATTCGAAGTCGTCGCTCGATGAGCGGAGGAACAAAATAACACCAAGACAATAGTTATTAACTAACATCGGGTCTTGATACGACGCTCTCCGACTGACACGCTTCGAGTCAATTTCACGGCATGGAGACTCGACAGACACCTAAATAGTTATATCGTTAAGTCAGCGTAATTTCCATATCATTAAACAATAATCAACGCAATTTACATCGTCGAAAAAATTTTTAACGCAGAATTTATAGTAAGCTGTTTCGCATCTGAACGTTATTCAATCTGTGGCTAATATTTCAGTACCATGTTAAGAATACAAGCGCAGTAAACACAAAATAGTGGAATTCACGTTTCAAACGTAGAATAAACGTTAAATCAACGTTGAATTTGTCATGGAAAGGGCGGACATTGGAATTGGTAAAACACGTTCTTTTATATTTCATCGCACTTTATACGATTACAGTAAACGCTTTTATACCATTTTTCAAGGTATCTTCCACCACTTTGTGTTTATCAGTTGCGTTCATATCATTTGAATGCACGCGTAATTACCAATGTCAAAGATAAGTGAAAATTTCTAATGTTTAATTTTAAATCGACAGTTTCGTATGTGAGTCATTCGACCGTGTTAAGAGTACATGTATGGATTCATGTAAAACTTTGTTATCGGGATTCGTCGATAAAAACGATTGGATGACATTGACGGCCTCGAATGCAATTACGAGTCATCCGGCGACTTCATCGATTGGTCGATACGAATGAAATGTGCTTATCGACAAATTAACTATCTAAATTGAGCCTCGATACGAAGATCGGTCCGTTAGGGCGTATATATTAAAATGAACCTGCATCTGCATCCTTTAGTTTCTCGCATACAGGCATGCGAGCTTACTCGCCCGCATACATACGTATACATATATATTTCTATATATATTTCTATACATATATATATATATATCTATCTCTGCTGCTCTGTCAATATGAATATCTGCCTATGTATTTAGTAGGTATATATTAGACCGTATTGCTGTATTTTTTAGTGTTGCCGTATGTACACACGTATACGCGCGAGGAGCGCGCCGACAAAGGAGAACCGTGGGAAATGCCGGCGGGGAGTGCTCCAGATTTCTGGCATTGAAGTTATATTTTGGCACGATAGTTAACTCTCGAGTTACCTGGATGGAAAGAAAAAATGGAGGCGAGGTCTTCGGTGTGGGGCACCTGGAAAGCGGTTCTACTACTCGCGCCTGCTTCGAGCAACGAGTCTCCCTTTTCGGCGCACTATGTCTAAGAGGCAAGCCTGTACAGTTCCATTGACGGTAGTAAAACGGTAACGTGAATTCGCGAAAGCCGTCGAGGTACCGTGAGCTCCGAGATCTTTTCGAAACGACGGCCTAACCGAGCCGACGTCTCGCGAAAACGAGAATTCGAATTCGCTGCACTTTGACGGTAGGACAGATTTTACCTCGAATTATTTGCCGTGGAAATGATACCATAATGTTGCAATGATATTCGGAGGTTGCGTTACTTGATGTTTTCATTGTGGCGGTCTTGAACATTTTTATTCTGAATTCTTTCCCATGGAAATGATTCTATAATGCAATAATAGAAGGAGGTTGCGTTACTGGATATTATCACTTTGACGGTCATGCAAATTTTTACCCTGAACTTTTTGCCGGGGAGATGATTCTATAATGTTGTAATAATAGTCGCGGATTGCATCATTTGATATTATCACTCTAATGAATAATAAAATAGAAGAAAGAGCAGAAGGAAATGCAGTCCTCGTGCCGATGGTCCCAGTTTACGCGTTTGTCGTCGAAAGAGGACCCAAACATTGTCGTTTACCTTTTGCTGCTGAACACTTTGCAGCTAGAAAGTCGAGAGTGGAATCCCAAAGTAAAAATAATTAGTTAGAATGGAAGAAAAAAAGAAAAATGAAAGAAGGAATACAGGAAGAAAATCCAGCCCTCGCGCCGATGTTCCCCGCCCTGAATCTCGGCTCCTAATGTCTCCGATCGGAAGTCGCGCGTTCACTTTCTCTCACCAGTCGCTTTTTACGGCGACAATTAATTCCGCGCGAAGGATCGGACATCGATCCCCAGGGATCGGTCGATAGGGTTAGGGTGGCTCTCCCGCTTTCGCCCTAGGGAAGCGCGATCTTGATCGACCGATCGAGCCAATCGATTCGATCTCGATCTCGCGGAACCGGCGCCGCTCTCGCTCGCGGCGAACCCCCTTCGGATAAGGCGGCTCGGCGTTTCACTTTCGCGATGAGCCGAGCGCCGATCTCTGGGCGTGGCAAAGTGTAACGCGAGAACCCGAGGCCGTCGCCGCGTTAGAAACGCGTCCGCAGCTGCAGCTGCCCCCGGCCGGGCTTAGAAAGTCGCGGCCGCGAGAAGGGCGAAGCCGCCCGAACTTCGGATTCCGGGACGAAGAGGTGAACCTATGAAAACCGCTCTCTAGAGAGGAAGAGAGAGAAATGCAGAAAAATGTTTCGTTGAATCAATAAAATGTTGGATTGTCATTTTTTACACGGTATATGCCACCTCGTAAAATACCGGATCAACGTAAACTGCATATTATCACGACATAAACCGGGGAAATCGTTTTCATAGCCGCTCGTTGGGGCCGCCATTTTGTTTCTTCCTACGCCGACCCCTACTTTATCGTTTCAACTGAACCGAGTTGATTTTCGTACGTTAATCCTATATACTCAGTTAAAATTCATCAAGGATAAGGCTTTTGTTAAGCTTTTAGTACAATTCGTCAGGCAGTAGGGAATATTTGCAGAATAAAGATCGACTTCGGTCCAGGAAGCGCGGCCGCCATTTTCCTCTTCCTCCTCCGTCTACTCTATCGTTTCAAACGAAGTGAGTTGATTTTTGTTTGTAAATCCTACAAAACCCTTAAAATTCACCAAGAAATATGCCTTCGTCACGCGATAACAAATATTTGCAGAATAAAGATCGATTTCGGTCTAGGAAGCGGCTGCCAGTTTGTCTCTGCGTACTCCGGCGTCGGTTTTTTCGCCCCCCTTTCGGTCTAGCCCTGTCGATTTCTAAAGCATTTTCACTGTCCAGGTTTATCGGCCCAGGTTTATCATCGGGCACGAGACGTTCCGATTGGGCACTGATACACCGCGGCCGTTTAAATTCACTTTCTAGGTCGTAAAATCCAGAGCCGCGCGCCATTTTCCTGCCGGAACGAATTGGTTGGGAAGTTTTTTCGCGACTTCTTCGGGTCGATTCTCGGCTCGCGATGACTCGGCCGAGCCTCGGGGCAAGGAAAGAGGAAAAAAGACCAGGTGAGACGATTACGACAGAGAGGATACTCGTAGATCGACAGAGGACATCGACGACGATCCTGCGAATCGATTTCCGCCTCTTTTACGCCGTGAAGTTATCTGGAGCCGCCCGAAGTCGCCTCGATTAATGCATAATCGCGATAATAAAACATCTCGTATTCGATGCCCCGTATTCCTATTAACTGATTAGAATCATTGACGTGCGAGTCGATCTCATCTGATGAATAATTTTTTGCAAATGATGACCGCGTCCATTTAGGAAGCGCTGCGCATGTTCTGTCGATTCGAAGACGAAGGTTGAATTTGATACGTTTCAATGTATGGAAATGATCAGTCGTTTTTTTTTCAATTTTTTGTACATATTGCATTTTTTCCGGGAGGCTTTGCGCATTTATCATGCATACCAATAATTGGAAGATGAAGACAAGACTGGAGCGTTTCATTTTAACCAATTTTTTGCAAATATTGAATTTTTCTCAGCCGGTGTCGCATTTGTGTCACTCAAATTGCTGATTGGTTGATGGAGATAAGGAATTGAATATTCATTCAGATGATTTCAATTTTTCTTTTTTGGTCAGTAATGAAGAAGTGGATCACTGATTTGTTATACTAATGCATTTTTAGGAAGGAGTCCTGTTTCTTGTGGCACTCGTGAAAGGATATACGGTGAAACGTCTCGTGCGAGGGGAAACGACGATACATCGTTCGGGGTGAAACTGCGATCATTCCGGAAGATTTTTCACCGGGTTTGCAGATCTCTCCAAGAAATTCCTGAAAACGCGGCACGCCTTTGGCTCGAGGAGATTAGATACCCGGTAATTGGCGAAGGATGTTGGCGATGATCGAATCGATTTCTACCTTGCTTAAGGCGTAATCCGAAGTTTCCTGGAGATGAATGAGGTTATGTACGTTAATTTATTAGAACTACCTTAATGGGGGATAAAAGCACCTACTAATGTTCTTCTATTCCGAAATGTCGTTGTTTCACTTTTTTTTTTAAATGTAAATCTCTTCTAAAACCTTTTAAAAGTTCGTTGAATATATTACAAATTATACATCAAATCCACGCGCAAAATCTCAGAATTATTGACTTTTATATATCCATTTTGCAGATGGTATATAAGAAACGCGTCGCGTTTTCTGTTTCTGGGTGTGAAGGGACATTCTAGATTCCGGAATATCAGCAAATATGTGAATTTTAGCAGTGATCCTGCTTGATGTAACTATCGTAATTCCATCGAGTGTAATTTTTCTTTTTATCTTCACACAGTCTCCATAACATCTGAAATTTCCCGGAAGTGCAGCTTGTTCTCGCGAGTGTACGGTCGGCGATTCTCCGGCTCGTCAACTTCTTCGCGGTTTTCTTCAGGTACTGTGCACTTCCTACTACGCGTGCGCTCTAGCCATGGACAAAACCTCGGTCGAGAATCCATTCTTCTTGCAATAAGATCCCGAGCTAACAACTACGGTACCAGTAACGAAACGACGGGCTTTGCGCCTATCCCAGGTCCCAAACTGAGAAAGTTCCCATGAGAAGAAAGGGACCCAGAACGAGGATAGAAGGTGCAGCATCCACCTGCAGCAGTCCGAAGGACGAGCGAGCCTTCCAGGACCTCGCCGTCCAGATCGAGCACCTTCGACCTAACCTACATCTCCGTCCCCGAAGAAGAGCTCCAGGAATCATCCCCGAAAGGACCAGATCCCAGATAACTCGCGAGACTTGAAGAGTGTCCAGATACCGAGATATCCGATCCTCAGGTATTGTTCCCAGGAGACAAAGGCGGCGAAGCTGCATCCCTCTGCTCATCGTGTACACTTTCAGGCCTGCTCGCGCTGCTGCTGGACCTCGAGCTGAGATTATCCCGGTCGCTGAAGTAGGAAGAATCGCCCCTCTTCTCCTCCATCTGTAGCTGCTGCTTGTCGTTTCTGAAGTCCTCCGTATTGGGCGGCCCCAGGAGCCCAGGGAAATAGGGAATACCCTGTCTCTGGGAGGTGATCTTCCCCATGAAGCTGCGGATCTCCTCGAAGTAAGATTCATCAGCTCTTGGCATCTGCCCGTGATAACGCGAGCGCACCTCGTCCAGTATCGTGGGTCCATCAGCGTCGTGCTTCTTCAGGTGCCGGTCCAGGTTGGTCTGCTGACCGAAGCACCTCTCGCAGAGCGGGCACTTGAACGGCTTTTCTTTGTTGTGGATGTTCCTGACGTGCCGTTGCAGGTTGCTGGAGATGCTGAAGGATCGCTCGCAGTACTTGCACTTGTAGGGCTGCTCGCCGGTGTGGGTCCTGAGGTGCCTGGTCAGGTTGGCGGACCTGGGGAAGACCTTGCCGCAGAACTTGCAAGAGTACCGGTCCTTGGGCTTGAGTCCGGTGCCGACTGCAGCGATGGAGTACGTGGGCAGGCTCGAGCTCTGCTGCTGCGCCTGCTGGGTCACCTGTTGCTGCTGGGTCACCTGAGCTTGCTGCGGCGCAGGTTGCTGGGGGTTAGCCTGCTGCGCCACCTGTTGCTGCGTAGACACAGGGCTTGCCGCTCGGGCTGGAGCCTGCGTAGCTGAGGACGTTGTGGAGAACCTGTTCGGAGGCAGGGGTACCATCGTCGGCAGAGCCCTCACCTGGATCTTCGGCAGGTCCGCCACCGATGGGGTGTGGTGATGGGAGCGGTACATCGCCTCCAGCACCAGCGGATGCACCGCGTGGTGCTGGGGGAACAACACCGTGTGGTATGGCAGACTTCCTAGGCTGTTTTGGTTCAGGACCTCGATGTCGTTCTGGTTTTCGTCCCGCAGGTGCTCCTTTTTCCGGTCCACTCGCAGGTCCAGCGGCTCGCAGTCCAGCTCGTGGTGGTGGGATGCTGGAGGTCGTGCTGCTGGACTCATGTGCGGCTGTTGGTTCATCGTTGGACTGCTTCGAGCGTTTCCGTGGCTCAGGTCGTAGGGCAGCTCCTCCGCGTCGGGGACGCGCACGCTCAGGGGGTAAATGCTCGCCTGCTTCGGGCTTATGTGGCCCGGCATCTTCCTGGGGCTGGAGTCCTTTTCCCGCATGGCTGGCGGATACTTCGGGTCGATTCGCGACGGGGCAGGGGTGCTTACTCCGAGATATGCGCTCATCACAACGCCGATGTCACCCTCGGCCTTGCTGCTCCTGGGCTGCCTCGGTTATTCGGGTTGTCTGGAATCAGACGTAAGATCCCTGTTAGCCAGGCATATTCAGAAAAATGGAAGACATAATACAAAATTTTACTTGCTTCAACAGATACTTATATTTGAACGATGAACACGAAGCGAGCCAATGAAGTTTTTTAAAGGTACCCTAGCAGCATAGAATATTTTTTTAATATTTTTTAGTAATTTTCGCTAAATATCTCAAGCGACAAATTTTTTAAGATGTCTTGTTGATTTCATTTGAAGATATATAAAATATTTGTTGAAGATCTCAGTGACATATTTAATTTTAATATTTTATAAACATGCAATAAAAATGATACTGAAACTAATACTGTCCTACGATGACATCACGCATTTTTTTCTGTGCAGGTACACCACAAGGAATACCGCAAAAATAAAAAATTAAATTATAAAGAATTGAAAAAGAGGGTAAACATGTTGCAGGTAAATTGCCCAGTTTTTTTGGCCGATTGGGAGGTCGATGCATATTAATAAGCAATGTTGGGACCCTGGTTGATTAATTCCTTTGGCGTTGCAGCGGTAATACGCCTTAAACACATCCCCATTCATCAGAAATATGGTAATCGCCTATCATTTTTCGTTGGTTTAAAAAATTAAAAAACCACCCCATAATTTTACGATCCTTTCCACCAGTATGTACACATCGTACAGAATTTAAAATTCCGACGAATTTGGAATTTTGTCGTATGCTCAGAATTTTAGTCTGGAGAAATTGCAACATAACACCTCTTATTAATTCTGGAGCAGAATTTGCACCAGTGGTAATACTTTTAAATTATCCGTAAATAAATGCGTGGGTTTAAATGAATAATCTCGAATTTATCATCTAAAATCGATAGAAGATTCAATCCCAATGATATTGTTTCCCTTTCCTCATCGTTATTACATTCTATAAAATTCTAAAGTCAAGAAAAATTGGTCAATAAATCTTATTATCAATTCGAGCAACTCTTATCAGGGGATGTTACATTTAAATGATCCATAAATCAACGTAACTTCGGGTAGAAATGAATAATCTCGCATTTATCATGTAGAATCGAAAAGCGATCTTGAATTTGACCGTCAATTTCAGAGAGAGAGACCGTCATCGGAATTACGCCTTAAACGCATCCTCATCGATCAAGCGGAGATTAAGCACCGATTATTCCTCGAGCCGGAATCGAGAGCACCTGGAAGAGCGAGAAGAGGCTCGAGACCGAACCCGACTGCAATGCCTGAGTAATTTAAGAGGTCCAACGAAGCATTATGCTCCGTAAAATATGGACTTTATCGCGGCGAGAAATCAACGCGCGTCCCGGCATCGAGGTCTCCGCCGGCGTCTTTCTCGCCCATGCGTTGACGTCTCTATACGCACCTCAATGGCGACCGGTCAGGCCTAATCGTCACGTGCGATCGTCTCAATTTCAAGAAGAACTCTTACTGCCTTCCGCCTCTATATAAGACGATCCGATTTTTTTTCGCGGCGCGTTCTAAAAAACAAGTAAAAAATATCGACCCTTCTCTCGGCGCACAATGGTGGCCGAGGCCGTAGTCTCGCACGGGCGAAGACATAATAAAAGGGTTATTAGGGTCTCTATGACTATAATTAAAACCGTTTAAGCACATGTTTTAAGCCTCTGCACGGAGAAATTAAAGCTTGTGCCGTAAGAATCCGGTTTTGCACGGTGAAAACACTTTCGATGTTTTTATACGCGGGTATGTATTAGTACTTGGCGCGAACCTCTACCGGATTTCTTAGTTATGGTGGGTTCTTTTTCTATTTTCCTTCGTGATAGCGTGCGAATTTATGTCAGGATTTGACGGGGTTGGTTTCAGTTTGGAATTTGTCATTTGGAAATGCGGTTTGTATTTGGGTTCAGGTGAGGATTGTAAGGTGTACGTTTTAGGTCATAAATGTACGTTCGGGAACTTGACAAATGTTTGGCTGATACGCGATGTTATTACATCTAAGCGTAAATGTGATTTATACACGCAGTAATCGTGGATCCGATACGTGCCCATTACGCACGCAATAAACGTATAATACCCGTTAACCAAGAGCTAGGATACACTTTATACATCATAAATCATTTTCCGTATTTTTTGGTTTCAAGTAGTGGTCCATTAGGAATCATCGCCGTATTTCTGTATTACTACATGCTCTTCAACAGTGATTCTCGTCGATTCAAATCGTTTTACACGATCATCCACAAAAAAAGTGGTCAGATGAAGGATGCCTCATTTTCTAATTTTTTAATCCACATCGAATTTCAACATTAAGCTTCATCAATTTTCAACTCTCCTGAACAAATTGTCATATTTTTTCATTTTAAACAGTCGATCACAAGCGAACTCGGATCTCTGCATCTGTAGGTGCTTTTCAGCAGTGATTATCGACGATCATGATCTACAAAAGTTATTCACAAAGAGGACGTTTCTCCATTTCCTTATCCGTAATGCACTTCAACAATGAGTTTGAAATTTGAGTTGAATAATTATTATTTGAATTATCTGAATACTTCTTTAGTACTATTCAAAGAAGTATCTCTATGGTTAAATGAAAATTTTTTCTCAGGGTGGATATATTTATTTTTCCGTGTGGTCATCCACAAAAATTGAGCCCATTTCCCTCCTCCTCCATTTTCTGGTTCCCATATCTTAACCAGATTTCTTTTCATGTGTCGCCACAGTAGAAAAACGAATTGAACGTCGCATCTCGTGTCTTTTCAGGCCTGCGTGACGGAGCAACCTAATTTTCCCGAAGGCAACGCATAATTTCCAAGATGGCGGCCCTTCGAGACCTGCTCAAGCGGTGACCGCGTCGGTCGATTGGCCGACTCTCTCGGTACCGTTGCTGTGCTCCAGTTAGACGTTAATCCTCTCCCGTGTCACCGCTCGTCTTCTCGTCGCCGACGAAAGAGAAATTCACTCGCTCTTGCGGCGCGGGGAAGAAAAAAACCGTCGACAAAAAGGACGCTTCTTGGCGCGTCGCGATCGCTATGCGGCCGACGAGACGACCGAGTGCCGTGTAATTAAGCCACTCGAAACGCGATGCAATGCCCGAGAGGCGAAAGGGTGCGTTTCGAGTCGTATAGTTGCAATTCGCGGCTTTCTTATTTTCGGTCGAGGTGTGCCAATTAGACTTGCCCGACTGGACGATCGGTGTTAACCGTCCACCTAAAGAGAGGAGCGCGTTCATGTCGTCGCATTTTGCTTTTCGTAGTTCGTTTACAGAATGAACCTCTGCTTGCTTGGATGTCAGTTTGATAACTCGATCGATGTAAATGACAATGACTACTACCGTAAACAGGAGCTACCTGGACCCGTATTAAGAAGTTTGGTAGAGTTTCGCGCCAAATATATATATATAAGAGGCGCACAACACAGACCTTGTCATTACCTGCAATTTTAGTCTGGCGCGTCAAACTGGACAGAGAGAATCGTTTACTGAATATCTTGAATGAGTAATGTCAACTTTAACCAGGTCATCAAGATTGGATTTAGTCCTTCTTTGAGATAATTGTGAAGATAACCCTATAAATACAAAATAGTGGAATTCACGTCTAATTCATGTAAACCTAAGAGAAAGAGAGTGGTACGGGAAAAAATTAAACGCTTATCCACCCATGGTTTTTTCTGTACCTTAAATACACATTTATAACGTTGATTCTACACGTTAAGTTTTCTATGCGTTTATCCCTAGTCGAGAAGAAATGTGTACTTTAACGTAACGTTATTTGAACGTATTGTAAACGATTATGAACAATTATTTTACGTACAGACTATGTTTAAACGACATTCATGTTACGCGACTGAAAAATAGTTTAATAAACGTAAAATAGATACCATTTTGATAACTCGATTGATGTAAATGACGTGCGTAGTATTGCTGTAAAGAAAGACTACATCTTTAGTCCTTTTTTGAGATAATTGTGAAACTAAGTAATAATTTGATATTCGGACAATTTACCGACAATTTTAATACAGATACTGTCTTCCCATTATTTTTTAAGAGACGGTCATCTCAATTAGAGATATTAAACCTGCTAACGCTTATAAAAAAAAAGAAGACTTGATGAAAGAGAATAAATTAGAGAATACTCATGTAATTATTTTCAAAAAGGTACTACTTTCGTTAAACAGTTTATAACGTGTGAACAAGGTTTACAATGCGTTGAGATAATCGAAATTTATTATGTGCGAAAACATGCGTAAAAGTCATTCGTAACTCAGGATCATTAATTATACGAGTATTAGGTAGATTTAGAATGATGCATTTAAATAGTTTTAGGGCACTCGATCTTGCGAGGATAATTTTCTGCCTCGCGGCAATCGGATACGGTTTAAATGGAAACGTTATGACGCAATTCGGGATCATTTATCACGGTATCAATGTCAGTGTCTGCAGGATTGGATGTAAAGTGGTTTACGCGATCGCCGGAAAATGCAGTTTTCTCCGTATAATAAGTGCAACGGAGAGAGGGAAGCGAAAGGTCCGAGGAAAATTGCACTGGTTACTTTGGCTCGTACTGGGAGGAAACTACTTGGCACGAAGTACCTCGAAGACGTAGTAATGTCTTTTCTCGGAGAAAGACGAAGTGGTGTCAATCACCTTCGCGAATCGTTGCAAGTGCAGCTGCATTTGCGAATAATGTATGGTAATGAGGAGACCGCGAGTGCGAATGTCATAATTAAGGAGACAGGAAGATCATTTATCGCAGGATCAATCGCTCTTGTTGCGTCATTCTCCGAAACGTCATTAATAGGGTTCTCTGTCCACCGACAATGCACTCGCAACAAGTGCCGTTGCATTTGCAAATAGTCATACGTAGGCGCACGCGTGTCATTGCGTACAACTTAATTGAGGAAACACTCCGACTTATTGCAGGTGACACTTTGAGGCCATTCAACAAAGTGAATTAATTATTGCGAATTTTGGAATGTACACCCTTAAAGATATCGCTGCCCAATAATACGAATAAGCTGAAAGTAACCAGAAAGAAA